AGGGAGAAAGGAGGTGAGTGTGGGGACGGACGGACGGACGGACGGACGGACGGACGGACGGACGGACCGACCGACCGACCGACCGGGGTGAGCGGCGGGGGGGGAGCCGGGTTTTTTTTGCTGCTTTTTTGCCCGGTGCTGCTTTTCTTGCTGTATTGAACTGGGCTGCAACGCACTTGGCTTCTCTGATGGATCGCTGAAAAAAGCGATCCAGGATCGCTGGACAGCCTGAAAATTCCTCAGGGGGCTGTCTCGGGGCTGGTTTAGGTTTCTTGTAGTTAAACCTGCTGTTAACAAATGGGTTGGAAAGGGCTTTTGCAGTTGCTGTGGCTTGTTGATGGTGTTTTGGGGAACGCTAGATGAATAACATGCCCCCCTCTTGACTGGGTACAAGCTTAGCAGAAGTCAGGATTTTCTTATTAGCTGCCGACAAACCTGCAATCGGAGTTGTTGGTACTGGTAGTGAGATCGTCTGGATGTTTAATTACTGCTCTTGAGCTCCCCGAAGGCCTGCCTGGACTAGCCAAAAAGTCTTGAGGGAGCAGGCAAGGCTTAACGCAGGACTGGGAGTCTGAATCTGCCACTTGTGGAGCTCTCAAAGGAGACCTGGGCAGCACGAAGCTCCAGGGCGGTGCTGGGAGAGCGGCTGGTGGGCAGGAGTACAGGCATGTACGCTGTCCTCCTACGCACAGAGCTTCTTCGAGTCATCAGCCCTTTTCCCCTTGGGTGCCTCCTGGGCACCGCTGCCCCGGGGTAGCCCTTGCTGTTGGGTAACTGGAGAAATATTGCCGTTCTTCCCACGCGAGCCGTCATGAGAATGTTATGGGGAGGATAAATAGAAATATCTTCTGTGGAAGAGGCCAAGGTCACCTTGAAGTACTGACTTCAATTCCTTTTTGCTTTTCATTTAATGAAGCCTCAGAGCCCTTATCAGAAGGTTTGAGTCAGCTAATGGTTGCCAGATTGTCTAATACTTTGTCTCCCTTGGGAAGGAGGAGTGTAGCTGCACCCTGTGTTGCCCAATATTATGTGGGAAATCTGGGGCAAATCCAGATCCTCAGCTCTAGTGTGCATGGAAACTAAATAATTAACAAAATGATTAAAATAATTTAGACTCGTGTAAATGCCCAAAAGAACATGAGCGTGGGGATGGTGAGAGGAAAAGACAGAAGTAGTTCTTGTACCAAATACCGTTTATGTTTTGGAAAGCATACAAAGTGGAAAGGAATCTCTTCTCCCTTTTTTTTTTTTTCCAGTCAATGCATTCCTTTTCCAAAGCTTTGTGCAGCCTATATTCCCTTTAACTAAGGACGTTCTTTGCCGTGATTGATGTCAGCTGCTGTGCGGTAGCACAGCCAAGCACTTGAATAAAAGAAATGGAATCTTAATTTTTAGACTCTACAGTTGTGCCAAGAATGACAAAAGCAAAGTGGGAAATGTCATAAAACTAATTTTATGAGCTCAGTCAGGGTATTAGTGCTAAACCATGGAGCAGTAATGGTGCTAATCCTGTGGAAGTATTAAACAAAGAGCTATCTCAGTAATTAGTGTCAGTGTGCAAATGGCACTGCTCAGCCACTCTGAGGAAGTTTCCTAAGCTTTTGCTTAGGAATGTACCTAAGATGCCCCAATTTAGGTTAATAAACTAATCTTATTTTCCCACATGCCACGAATGGCTGGCTGCTTGTCTTGGACAAAGGTCTTGTAGCAGCCCGTCTTGGCGGCATGTTTTACTCGGGGAACCGCACAACCTTCCCTGCATCCCTAAAACTGCTGAACTACTGGTCAGGCTGCTTGGGCAGGAGGCTTGTCCTAGCAGCACTAGCGAGATGGGGCACTTATTTCAGGCTTAGCCAAAACTGCTGCTCTGAGATGCGATTTGCGGGTCCGCTCTACCTTGCCTGGGGAGCACGAGGCAGCAGCCGGGTGCCCGTGAGACCCCTCGCTCTGCACTGAGGGCTCTCCCGCACGTCTGTGAGAGCCCCTTAGAGAAATGGGGTCTGGAAGCAAAGTGTTCATCTCTGGTTCCCGGTGTCACGGCAGCGCTTCCAGTTCCTCTCTGTTGGCCGGGGGGACAAGTGGAGGTTGGTAGTCCTTGCTTCTGGCTCGGAGGGATGAGTGGCAAAGCTGAAGGCAGCAGGTCGTGGGTGTTGTGTGGGGATGCTGTCGCGTGTCCCTTCTCCCTGTCTGGCCAACGTGGGAGAGCTTCTAAGGGTAACTGAAGGTGAGTTGTGCCGAGAGAAGTCGGAAGCTCCCGACAAATTCCTTTCTTCCTTCTCTCCCTGATGGCTGACCCGTACCGCAGCGCTGCTGTGGGGAGCCTGCTGGGAGGGAATGGTGCTGCTGGGGGGGGTAGGGTGGCAGGAGGTGCCCTCCGGGCTTCCAGGGGGCAAACCCGTGGTCCTCAGCCAGAAATCCTCTCTGGAATGAGGGTCAGTAAGGAGCAGGGGGGGGTGATGAGGCCTGAGCAGCTCCATTGGGTTAAACTCACCGAATCGATAACCCTCGCTCTGGCTGCCGTTGGCCTCCGCGCTTACGAGGGGGGGTCTTCTGGTGATGAGCCGCAGGGGAGCAAACCAGCATTAATGCGAGCCGAGGGCAGGTCAGTGATGACTGGGAGACTTCAACAAACCCTGCTGTGTTAGCTCGGGGTGGTGGCAGGAGGAGGAAAGCCCCAGAAGAGCCAAAGGTGGCTGGCAGTGCTCTGCTTTGGTGCTTTAACCCAGGACAGTTAATGGGAGGAGCAGGAGGAGCTCCCAGTTGAGCTGGGTGGGAACTGCTGGTGGGGACAGCGTGAGCGCTGGGGAGGAGGCAGCTCGGCTTGAGATGGGACAGTTGCTGCTTCTGGCTTAATGTAGGAGACTGTTCCCAAGGCTGTAGTTTGGCACGGTGGGTGATGGTGCCTGTCCCTCCCCTCTAGCCTTCTGAGCATCCATTGCAAGTAATGCATAAAAGGGAGTTTTGCTTTATTTTAAAGCAGCTGTGGCTCCTCGAGCAGTTGGGTTTGGTTCATATACCTGTCTGGTTAAGGCATAGTTCATAATAGCAGTGGAGTCCCCCCAAAATAATCTCCCTTAAACTTCTTTGAAGTGCAGGCGTGATCTCAAAGGAGCGCAGAATGTTCCTACAGCCCTAGTAAGTGGTTCTCCAGTGAGGTGAACTTTGGCTTGTTCTGCATCCCAGATGATAGGCCCTGCAGTAAAACAAAATGCCGTTGTTGGCACAATTGGTTTGCTTCCATCAGACAAGAGGCCCAGCGTTAATGAAGCATAGAAACTGAAATTACATCCATCTGGGGGGGGGTGTTCGCTCAAGGTACAGTAAAGCCCTTGTGCGTGAAACTGTAATTTGTGCATGTCTAATTTATGTAACTTTCAAAACCCCGGGCAGGGACAGGAGGACACGTCTCGTGAAGACCGTGTCTCTGTGTTTCTTGCTGTGCGGCAGCAGCGGTCTCTGTTCCCCTTGCCAGTCCATCTGCTTTTACAAATAGCCATAGAGAACCCGCCTAAGCCTTTAAGTCCGGTCTGGGATCTGAAGGGCTGAGAAGTTGATCCGAACACAAAAACTTCTCACGCGGCGGAAGGTCGCTTTTTTTTTAACCAGTTGGTGAAATCGCCGGCTTGCTCTCCGATAGACGACCTTCGCAGACCTGCTTGAAAGGAGCCCGTAACCCCAACTGTCCTCGAGCCGGGGTGGTGGAGGACGCTGTCGTTAACAAACCTCTCCCCTCCCGCAGAACCACCATGCCCAACTGGGGAGGCGGCAACAAATGCGGTGCCTGCGGCCGCACCGTCTACCACGCCGAGGAGGTGCAGTGTGACGGGAGGAGCTTCCACCGGTGCTGCTTCCTCTGCAGTAAGTATTGCCCTCCCGCTCCCCTCCAAAACCTCTCCTGGCATAGCTGGGGGTGGGGGGGGGTCTCACAACAGCAAGGTGCTGGTCCACGGGAGACGTGGACCCGGCTGGCGCCCGTGATGCACGGGGGGGACAGCAGCGGCCAGAGGTGGGTTTGTCCATCACGCGTTGGGCTTGACTCCCGCTTCCCCGCGTGATTTCTGAGCCTGGAGGTGCCGAAGGGAGAGCTTGTCTCCTGGGGGGACGTTATCCCACGTGGGAGGGGTGGGATGTGCCTCCCAAAGCAGAGCACATCGTGCTTTTCTCCTCCGTTTGCCTTCTCCTCAGGAGTCTAAGGGGTCTTTGGGATGGAAACCTGGCTTAAGTTGCTCGTGCAGAGGAGAAAGCCGGGTGGCAGAGCCCCGTTTGCACTGATCCCAGCTCAGCCGGACCTCTCCCGGTGGTCCCGGGGCCGGCAGCAACTAAGGGAACGGTTATCAAACCCCAGCCCTGAAGTCCTGCGTGGACCGGGACGCCGGCGTGCCTGAGCACGGCCGAGTTGTCGATGCTTTAGCACAGCCAAAAGCCTAGACTTTCTTGGCACAGGGGCCTGTGGCTTATTTCAGATGAAAGGAGTCCAAAGCATTATTTTCCAGTCCAACCAACAAGCCCAGCGAGGCATCGAAAATCGCTTTCTCTGCTGAAAAGACCTCTGCTTAGATGAAGGGAACAAAGGGTCACTGTGAATCGGAGGCTCCTACTTTGCAAACAGGCAGCCTGTCTGTCTGAATCAGAGAATTTTACCTTATTACATACATGAAGTGCTGTTTTGTCCCACTTGCTGGTGTTTAGTACCTACGGGCAGAGCTAGGGTTTCGCCCTCTCCGTAGAAGGCACGGTTACAACCGGCCCCCTCAAACTAGCTCGCTCTCAGTCTGCAGCGTAACGTCAGTGCGCTGCGCTGGCATGTGAGCCTCGGCACACCTACGCTCCTTTCCCTTAGCTCTACAGCAGTCACAAAAAAAGATTAGATGTCTCGGCTGCCTCGTTTTCAGCCTTTTATGGGAGTTTCTATTAAAAGAAACCTGGAACTTGCAGTCAAACAATGGCTCTAGTGTGTCCGAGTATTTGCTTTTCCTTAGTGCATAGTTCTGTTGGGGTTAAAGCCTGTAGACTTAACAAACATGCATTGGTCGATTTACTTATTGGATATTTGTGTCTTATAAAAAGAACTCTGGAGCTAACGAATGCCATAAGCAAGGTCACCCTGTATTTTGAAGACTTTAAAATTCTTTTTTAAACAAAAAATTCATAAGGCTTTTTTTTTTTTCTTCTTTCTCCCCAAATTCTTTCTCATGGGCATAATGCTGCTGCAGACAGAAAGAGCATGCCAGTTGGGATACAAAAGAAGGTTTAAGAAGGAAATAGTTCTGCCTTCTACTGTAATGTTGAGCAAAGCGTGCTTGCATTGTGCTGAAGGACAATGTGGGAATGCCAGAGAAGCACAGCCCCTCCGGTGACAGCTGTGAAACAGTCCCGACTCTGCCCCAAACCAGTACTGAGGCGGGGGGGGGGAATCTTGAAGGGTTTGTGGGTTTGTTGGGGTTTTTTTTCCCAGCCCCACCCTGGCCAAAAGGGCAGGACAGGGGCTCTTCTGCACCGATAGCCTTTCGCTTCATGCTGTATGGCATCTGTCAAGGGAAACTGCTGACTGCACTATCTGGGTTTCTGAGCAGCCTCATTCATCAAACCACAGCAAGTTTCCAGGCTTTAAATGTCACGGTCATGAAGAGGTGGGAGGGAATAGAGCCCTTTATAGGGCTAAGCATAATTCACTAATTCAAATGACAACTTGCTTCCTCTAATCTCTGGTGGTCCCACAGCCTAACAGGAAGAATTGTGGACAAGGAAACCCATAACATCACTTCTCACTCGATTTTTGGCTTAGTACATGTGCTGATGGGAATGGTCCCTTAAGGCAATTTAACTTTTCTTTCTTCTAGTGGTCTGCCGGAAAAACTTGGACAGCACAACTGTAGCGATTCATGATGCTGAAGTTTACTGCAAATCTTGCTATGGAAAAAAGTACGGCCCGAAAGGTTACGGATATGGCCAAGGGGCAGGCACGCTGAACATGGACAGGGGAGAGAGACTCGGCATCAAGCCTGAGAGGTGAGTGAACCGAGCTGGCGGGGAGGGGGGTGACCCTTGTCCTTCAGGACTGTTTTCGGAGGAGTCTTTCAGGCTGGATTTTGGTTAGTTCATGTTGTCTGGAATAGAAATGCTGCGAAACACCCCGGTATAACCAAACGCAGGGCATTTAACCTGCAGCGCACAAAGCTTCCACTGGCGACGGTGTGAGTCGGCACCATATGGGCAGGAGTTAGTGCAGGGAAAGATGCACTACGCCTGCGCACGAGCCGTAGGGACTGGATCACGGAGCTGCTGGTGGCTCTGCACGAGCCTGCAGAGGTGACTGTGGGTCCCGAGTCGCTCTCCCAAATAAGCTGCAGATGCAAACGTTCAACAGGTTCTGGCAGGGATGGATTTGGAGAGCTGTGAATCTGGGCCCACAAGAAGAATGAATTTTTAACTGGGAAATGAAGAACCATTTGTGCTTAATTATAGCCAAAACCAACAGGCCTATTAAATAGCAAGTGTTCCTAGTCTGATTAAGTTCTTGCTGTAAAGCAAAGCATGTGGAAAGAAGCTGAGGTATGCCTCGCAACTTGCTTCGTGCGAGTTCCCAAGTTATTGCTTGACATTTATATGATGCATGCCCTCCAGCCAGGTTCAGTGATCAGTTTAGGTTCCAGATTATGATCAATGGACAGGAGTTTAACTGAATTATTTGTAGCTTACTATCTGATAAATCCATGTCCTGATACAGAATTTAGCATTTCCAGAGAAGTGAAAAGGTGAAGGCTCCTCAGAAAACTAGCTTTTACAGTCCGGTTTTATCCTTTGAACCATGGCCCTTCTTTTTTTTTTTTTTTTTTTTTTTTTTGTGTGTCTGTGTGTGTGTTTCTGGGTTTTTTTTTTCCCTACTAAGTATAACTGGATAGCCTTGCTGGTAACTTACTTCTCCAGTTTTGCAGAAGTGCTGTATTCTGTGTGGTGTGTTGGATGCTGCTCAGTTAGTGATGTTAAGAGCAGCAAGAAGTCATTCAGTAAAAAAGTAAAGACAATGAATGTCCCGTTTCTTCCAGCACACCCTCTCCCCACCGACCCACAACAAATCCAAACACTTCAAAGTTCGCTCAGAAGTTCGGAGGGGCAGAGAAATGCTCTAGGTGTGGTGATTCTGTTTATGCGGCAGAGAAAGTAATAGGAGCTGGTAAGGTAAGGAACTGCATGTGCTGTTTAGTACCTGCTATGTGGATTTTAAAGTGAGCAAAGCATGTTACGTGGGTTCCAGTAAGGAACCAACTGCGGGGTAGAGTTGCCTTAAAATTGCATTTCTTCGCATTGGAAATAGTCAAATCCATCAACTGAATTGAACACAAAGCACTTGAAATGCAGGGTGATGAGTGCTCACCTTGGATTTCAGAGGTGAAGTTTCAATATCGTCCCATGCCAGAGACTCGAAGCGGACCACAGGAGAGCTTTGCCCCCAGAGAGAACAGTCTTGCAGTGTGCAGCTTACGATAGAGGCTGAATGTTTCAGCAGAAAGGGGATGTTCTCTGAAAATACCGTGTAAAACTGTGTGTCAGTCTGCCAGCTGTCTGACTCGCTACAGAGAGCCAAGATCTGCTCTGAATTGATTAGAGCAAGCACAAACCTTTCAAAATGCTGCCCTGAGCAGAATGCTGTGTGGAATTTGGGGCTTTGGGCCATGTGCAGAAATGCAGATGCTCTCGTCTGCTACTGGTGCACTTGAACTGGTTTTTATTGCACCAGTCATCTATAAACAATACTGATGCAGGCATCTCCAGTTAATGCATTTTTTTTATCAACTCAGGCATTCTGTGTATTTAAACTATCTTCTTTTTTTTTTTTCCTCCCCAGCCATGGCACAAAAACTGCTTCCGATGTGCCAAGTGTGGAAAAAGCCTAGAATCTACAACCCTAACTGAAAAAGAGGGAGAAATCTATTGTAAAGGTGAGGAAAGAAACAAAAGATCATTTGTTTATGGTTCAAGGTAATGTGTTATAAGGATAGATGCTGAAATGTATTCCTGGAATAAGAAACTTTCAGGCTGCTGTCAAGATGGAAGTGCTCTGTAAGTCATAGGAACAGAGGTGAGAAATGAAATAAATATTACTGAAGGTGCTGATGTAGCTCACATCTGCATCAGGTAAAACGTTACATCCTGAGAAATGCAGCAGCAGCCTGTGCCCTCTGCCTGGGTCGGAGAGCAGATCGGAGTAAGGAAACAAGCCAGCAAGCATCCTGCCATGAGTTCTTGCATGCTGTCATGGCTGTAAACTTGAGCCACCCCGTGGTTTGGTGACAGCATATCTTAACAGATACCTAGCCACAGAGCCAATGTATGAATTGCTTTCACAGAGTAGGTTGGGAGCTGCATGGATGGAACGGCCACAGCTATTGAGTTCAGTCATGGCAGTTAGCAGCTTCACAAAATGGTTTTAAGCATTGCTTTTTGGGGGGGTGTTCTGCTGACTAATGGGAAGGGGCTGAGGGGCTCAGCCTAGACAGTGGTGTTCTTAATTAACGAGCCAGAAGCCTCAGCTACTTACTACATGTTCATCTTTCCTGCAGGCTGTTACGCAAAGAACTTCGGCCCCAAGGGATTTGGGTATGGCCAGGGAGCAGGTGCCCTCGTTCATGCCCAGTGAGGGGGACGGATGGCTCAAAACCCCTTACAGCTCTGCTGAGATCCCGCTACAAGAAACAGGAGGGTTTCCTAAATGTTACTAACTACTGTGAAACAGACACTAGTTACTGTAGTGCTTGGGCATATGTTCAGCAGAGAATTTTTTCTTTTTCGAAAAACAAAAAGCACTGCTTTTTCCTTGCTTTGTGTATCATACTGTAACACTTTTAATACTGAGTATCAATTCAATAAACCTTTGCTTGTTGATATATCCTAAAGTCAAGTGTTAAGTGCTTTGTCAGCAATAAAAGGAAGGAAGGAAGGGGAGTGGTGTTGGGGTAATTCAGGGTTGGAGAGATGATGCTATAGGCTTGGTGCAGACCAAGAGTGTGACTAAAAGCTGGACATACATCGCACTGGTCATGGCCTTCAGAGGTGAATGACTGTCCTCCAGTATCACACCATTATATGTGAGTGCAAGGCAACCAGCTGCTTGCTGCACAGAAGTAGTAAATCTTAATCCAGTGCTCTGGAAGTGACAGGTGAGAAGTAGCTGTGTGCCTAAATGGCCAGCTGCCTCTGCCCTAGGCTCTAGTGACTGGAAAACAACCCTTTTTTCCTGTAATATTTATTTTGTGGGATTGCACCTGGTGTGGTGTTGAGGGGGTGTAATGCACAGGCCTTAATCTGCAGCTGTTTTGGTAGAGTACACCTTCTGCACAGTAGTACCATCCCCACTCAGCAGTTGACCAAGCTCTGGCCTATCAATCACACCAAACTCAGGTTTAAGAGGAGCTTTTGAGCTTTTCTTGGTAGTGCAAGGACCCTTAGGTGCCTGAAGTTGGTGGAGGGTTTCAGCCTCTTGAGGACAGCATCTGACAAGGTAGCTGCAGTGCAACAAGAGCAGAATAAAATTCTGTCTTCAAACACTCTGGTAGAGAACATGACCTGAACTCAAGTTGATGGGCAAGGAGTAATGGCAATTAAACACATCAAATGCAGTGTAGATCTACCAGTTGGGTGAAAGCCATAATAGTCAGGGGCCTGAAGTCTGCTGCTGTAACTCTTCAGGAACTGCTGCTAATAAAGGCCTACAATTAGGAGACAATGACTTTGGCCTTAGCCAGACCTTGAGTGGAATGCTCACAGAAGAGCTTGGCTTCTTTTAGGGGCTGGAGGAGCACCCAACACAAGCCTGCAAGGCCTGAGCTGATAGCACCTGCAGTTGCACTTCTTGGGAAGCAAATGGGAGTCGTCACCTCAACATGAGAACCAAGACCAGCCCACCACCACAGCCTTACATGAGAAGGAGGTACTTAAGCCTAAAACAGTTATGCGAAAATCACCCACTGTAAGGAAACTCGCCTTATTTTTCTGCAAGTAACCAGCATTTACTATGAGCAGCTTAGCATTTTTATTTTTTTTTTTAAATCTAGTCCTAAGTTTCTTGAGCACCTGAAGCAGACCTTCACTGGTGTGCTCAGGCTCCTCAGCCAAACTCCTTTTGCAAAGCTAATGGCTTCCTCTTGCCTGCTGTAAGGAGGCAGCACATGAGATCTGGGCATCAACGCCTCTTAAAAGCACAAACCATGCCTCAGAGGAGCACGGCCGAGCTCCAGAAGGTAACGGGGGTGTAGGAGTGTCTTTGCTGTGAAGGACATGCGATTGCACAGCAAGGGCTTCACTAGAGGCCAACCACAGCTGTGGGGAGACACGAGCTTCATCCCAGTGGCTACAACCCACATGGTGTTCTGGGGTGGAGGGGGAAGTTCAGCTTCAACTCTCATTGTGCCCAACAGGAGTTAAAGAAAAGAGGAGGTCTGAAAGTCTGTCTGGGTTGGGAAGCAGGCTGATACTTTTTGGGGGAAAAAAACCTTCATGGAGTGAATTTATGGAGACACATTCAAGACTGGGAATGCTGCAATAAAATGGTAAGCAAGTGTGTCAGCACAGTCTAAGGCAGAGTTTCAAGCAAGACCTACGACTGCGGTCTGAGGCAGTGAAGCAGTGCAAGCCAAAAGCCTAATTAGAAAAATGCATACTAGTCAAAGTAATACACAAAGAGCATTTTGTACGGGTTACAAAGAAACAATCTGGATACGAGGAAGAACAGACAACCGGCTCAAAATGTGAGCCAAGAGCCTGTACAGTTCACAGAGAGGGAAAGATTACAACTGAAAAAGACAACAGTAAGGCAGAAGCAGCACACATTTCAGGTGGGAGTGAGACAGAAAGCAATGGCACAGGCCAGGAAACCTGGGCAGAAACCTTTGGTCCTGCTACTCACACTGGTGATCCTAGTATTTTTCTCCTAAAAAAAATGAAAACATAACCCCCCCACTTTTCTCCTTTGCCAACCGGACAGTTGTGCAGGAAGGGTTGATCCCCTCTGACTCTTCCAACCCAAGCAAGGACAGCTCTAACTGAGAAGCAGTATCCACACCCCAGCAGCTGAGGACATGAAGACAATGACAACATCCCCTTTCCATAGCCTTGTCACCTGATGGAAGTGCTTCCTCTCCTCAGGAAAGGCATTTTACAATGCTAGGTGGCACTGTTCAATAGACAAGAAACCAAAATAATGCTCTCAACACACTACCGAGCAGATGAAACCACTCCCTGCTAGTTGATGTAGCTACTGTAGCAGATCTAAACCCACCACATCAGAAGAGCTGGCAGGTGAGATTTATGCTGACAAAAACAGGCACCTAACACATTGTTCATTTACCTATTAAAAAAAAAAAAAAGAGCTTTCAATTCTTAAAAAAAATGAACTCTAGAAATGATTTAAACTGCTAAAAATCAAGGGCTTTCCTTTCATTTCCTGGAGGGAGGCAGAGCAGTAACTCACAGCTCCATACAGCTCTACATCCCAACAACTTATTTAACAACAGAAAAACAAAGAAATGAAGGGAAAAAAGAAAACTTGTAAACACAAAGACAATATACCTGTCAAGAGAAATGAATACCCTACACTGAAGTGCTTTCAATTGGTTACTGTCAACTTTTCAGCTGCAGCAAAGCACTGATGAATAAAATCTCAGCCCAGGCTGGAGGAAAGCTTTGAGTTAGTCTCAGTTTGAAGCCCTAATTCCAGGAGAGATCAGTTCTCAAAAGTACTATGACTTCATGATCTGGAGATCTGAAGGAGTGTGTAGGATTGGAGGCAATGTGAATATGGCACTAAGTTTGTAAGATACAGCACTAAGTCTGCAAGATACTGCAAATAAATTCAACCTGGAATTAGAACGTGCAATTTTTACCGATCTCCATTCAGTAGCCTAAGGTGGATAAAATCCAAATGCAACCGTTCACAAGTAGACATTGCTTTCACAGCAAAAAAATCCAATTTGACTTACAGGCAGCTCATGGGAGGTGCAAGGGAGTGAACTCTAATCAAGCCATAATGAGGGGGCAGAGGGCAGGCTTCTTCCCAAATAAAACAAACCCAGTAACCAGCTTTCAAGTCATCAGGAACCCACTCATACCTCCCAAGAGCACTGCAGGTCTCCGATGGAGATCTTCAGCACAGAATGTCTTCTTTTTTAACAAATAAAGTACCTTCCCTGATCTTCACCAGACAAGTCAAAGGGTGGTCAGCAGAGGCGAGCTTGGGCCCAGCCTCTCCAGAACCATTTCTTGGGGGAGGGCAGCACCAACAGTTCTCAACATCAATATTGAACCCACACCCAGCAGAAAACAGAGACTTTTTTATCCCCACCAGGTGTGCTCTTAAGTCCTAGCCTTATACTTTAATACATATTGCTGGTTATAAATATCCTGATTAATTTCCAACTTGGATGGTTACCTTGCTTCTACTCTAAATCTAACCTTTAGAATGGACCAGAAGAGTCAAGGTATTCCATCTCCTGCAAGTGCCACCTAGAAGCACACATCTTGGTCATACCTCCTAGCCCTATGTGGATGTCTTCTTTACACTTAGAATATCTCAGATCTCATTCAATATGTACACTTGGCCACCTGAAACGTTTCCTAGAAGAAATTTTCCCTTAAGAAATGTTACTTTGCCAGCATGCTTCGCTCAAAAGAAAGGAGTATCTAATTAGTGAATCCTAACTCTAATTGGTAGTACAAAGGTGTACTTTATCAAAACCCAATGTAGTAGTTCACAGGATCTCACATCAGCACAGAACGGGGTGCGTGCTATCTTTAAGACACCCGTAAATCTTTCTGGAAAGACTTTACTAAACTAAGGTGCAAGATAGCAGCTATTTTCTCATGGTACAGCTTCTGAAATTGGACAGAAATAACAGTGTGAAATCACATCCCAAGTCAAGACAAACACTGCATCTAAGAGTCAATATTTATTTGATTAATAACTTACAAAATTTAACAGATTTATGTAAGGAGAGCTAATTTATTAAACATTTTACAGATTTCTTTTGTTCACAATGTAATACATCAAGATCTCAACAGTATTAAAATAATACTTGGCACAGTTATAAATAAAGAATATACAAAAAAATCCATAGCTTAAAATGTAGTGATGCTGTTTTACACATTAATTGAAAAAAAATCTGGTGGACATCAAAGAATACAGAAACCTGCAAAGAAACAGCACATGTTTAGGGCCAAGACAAAATTCCCATTTATTCTACCTATGTCAGATTAAGTTGGTCTGATCTGCTGTTGGTCTGGATCAGCTTTGTTAAGTTTCAGAAGCAATGCAGTTTTGGTTCAACAAGTGAATTTTAAGTTTGATAACTTGACAGAAAAATGCTGCATAGTTGGCTCCCCCCTGCTTGATTTTATGATTTCACATCAAACAATTCAGCGTTACTCAAGACAAGTTACATTTTGCACTGGAAACTTCATACATCCCAAATCCATATATGCAAGCTAATTTTCACAACTACCTACTATTGCTCAGATTCTGCAGGTCTCCACAAAACTGTCACCAGAGAGCTATTAACAAGTAAATAGTGCAGAACTCACTACGTACTACTAAAGATCACCTCTTCTTTTGCAGACGTTTTTGACATGGACTGCATGACACAATTCATGGCAGTTAATGCTACTGGGCAACTAAACCCAAAACTTGTATCATGTACTGAACTGCTCTTCTGGTGGTAGGCGATATTTAATAAAGTGGATTGAAGTTCTTCAAGTCAACCGACCCCCAATGTGGAAAAAAAAACCCAAACGAAAACCAAACAAATATGCAGAACATTACTGGTGATTAAAATAAAAATATTGTAAAGTCTTCAAGCTTTTTTCTGATTAGAAAAAAAATATGAATAACTGATATCAACTGTTTTCACTGAAATATAATGTGTCTTCGTTAGGATTACAAATTTTGTCTGACAAAAATAGCAAAAGCTTCTTGTCACTCCTACACCCAAACCTCTCCCATTAAAACTGTGTCCAAGACGATGTTGATTTTTCCAGTATTAAACATTCAAGTACTCTAATGCTGTACTTCTGTAAATCCTGATATCTGGTACTTGCAAACTGTGTGTCTTGAGATCAATGAACAACTACAGAAAAAATGTTTACTTGCAAATACTGAACATCAACTATTTACAGTTTCACTGCTCCTCTTACTAAGGCAAGGGCCGGGAATACCACTAGATTGCTTTATTACCTGTAATCTGCATATTACAGAAAACGCTAATTTTGCCAAGCATCAAACATGCAGTGAATTTGCAGGGCATAATGCCTATTAACAGCAATATTGAACATCACTAAAAGCTCATTAGATATCTTCCTACACTTTTTTTGGTTGAATAAAATGAAAATGAGCAGCTTTAAATACACTAAACACACACTCACAGAGAGAAAACTATTTGATAAATTATTTATATACAGATACACATTCTTTACACTGGTCTCAGACATCTGCTTTCAGGTCCCTCCCCAAACGCCCCTCACAGGTTTCTCGAACCACTGGGTTGCTACAGCACTTAGAAGAGAACTAACCTGATTCCCAGTCTCTCTGTAAACAATAGTTAAGGAAGCAGTGAACAATTCACTATGAGTATATGAAAACACCATAACAAAAATCAGTGCATCACATTCAAGAAAAGCCCCTTTGGAATGCAATTTCAGATCATTCCTTACCTTCCAAACATATCTGTAGCATGAGAACTTAAAAAAAGAAATTAAGAGTGATTTTCACGTGCCAATACACCATCATCTTCAGAACGCTGCGTTACATTTTCTGTGTGCGCGTGCTGTTATGGGGTTTTTTTTAAATTTTTTTTTTTTTAATATAAGTTTGGTTTCCATTATTTTACATCCAAACAAAATAGGCATTTCAGACAACTCTGGGTTCTTCTGCAGTTGCATTCAATTTAAAACTATCTTGTCTTTTTATAATTGAGATTTTTGTTTTCACATCTGTGGTTTCCCCCATGCAATTTCTCTTCCAACGTGTCTCCAATTACACTACACTGTACTGTATGAGGACCAAACCTAATGTTAAAACATTGCTAGTTTGTAAGTTGCTTATACAATTACTTCAAAGATAATGAATTTTTTCCACATTTTTCCCAAACATTATATACTGTAATCTAGTTTTACAGGTCTATCATGCATTTAAGCAGGGCTTGAACTTTGACAGAAGAGCTTTCCTTATTTGCGCAATTTCAGACTACATAATCTCAGAACAGGGTTATTACAAGTATTTAGTTGTACCACTAACCGGTGGCAAAAACAATCACCAAAAAATGTGGGCAATGTATTTTTTTCTCAACATTATCCAACATGCCCTACTGCTATAACTTAACACGTTACAGGGGATTCCCACCACATGATGTTTAGAACAGTATTGAAAAGCACATTTTTCAATGCACATAATACTACAGAAAATCTGTATTAAAAAATCACATTACAGGAACTACAACATAGCGATCAGTGAACTTTGCATCATGAAATTTAGTTTTATATTCTAGACTCTTGTTTCAGTGGAATTATTCATATTGGGAAATAAATTCTTCTGCTCAGCACAAATGTAACTACTTATGTCAATACTTCAATAATCTCATGCTCCATTGTGAAAGACCTTAAATAAAAAACCCAACAACAAATACTGTGAATATGCTGTTGCGAATAATTCTCATGTTAAGAACTGTTAAAATCCCTTTTTGATCTTCCTCCTCTTCCTTATCAGGTTTGGCAGTTTATTCTGTCCATTTTTACTTTTGTTAATAAAATTCTGATGAAGAGAAGGTACCTTATGATTCATCATCAGCCCTACACATAGCATGCTACTCTTCAAGGGATGCGGATTCGAGAGAGAGAGAGAAAATTTTTCAGGCACCACTCAGATATGATATGCTCACAGGATGAAGGTGGTGCTACACTAGCTGGTAGCCTGATCCTGAAGTTTGGTCATATTCTATTGTATACTGCCTTGTCCAGTCCACAATAACGGGCCGAAAAAGACCACAGCATCTGAATTCAAAGAAGTCTATAATGTTCCTTATGCATCCATGGCTAAAAACAAAACAAACACACATGTTAGTAAGCAATATCATAGCTCATCTAACAAAGTACAACATTTTTTGTCTACCTACAAATTTGATTCTTCACCCTTTAAGTTCTTAACGGTAGAAAACCAATGCAGTTAAGAACTGTCTTAGTGCTTGCTGACGAGGAAGTTCTGAAACAAGTAGTAGTCACCAGCAGACCACCAGGTAGTCACCGTGGACACAAGCAAGACACTAACTTTCTTCCACTATCTACCAAAACTGTATGGAGAAACGTAACGTGTTCTTGGCAGTGCACCGTCATGTAGCATAGCATGGTAATTCAGATCCCTTTCTAAGAGGAAAGTTACATTGTACAGATGGATGCAAGACAAAAACATCATGAAGTGAATGTCTTCCTGGAATAATTTACATTTTTATTAACATCTATTTCTGTCATACATACTTGTTCACCAGCTGCAGGTCTAGGATCAATTAAGTCCCTAGACAACACAAAATTAAGAAAGCATTATCTGAATTAAATGAACTATTCAAGTGCTTTCTGCTGCTGAATCAATTAATTGTGAAATATTTAAGATACCTACATCAAAATTCCAACAAGTTGGGTTTTTTTAAACTTAATTACACATGGGCTGAATAGATCACGGTTTTCTGGAAGAGAAGCTCATGTTATGATATATGCAAGAGCAGGTCTAAGCAACAAGGAGATGACAACTACTTGATGTCAATGTTTCATCTGACAGGTGATGTCAAGTCAGTTATTTTAGACATCTGGTGTTATTTTCAGGAATCATTTTTATAATAGCAGCTATTTCAGTGAAAATGGTTTATGAACACGTCATTAATTTAGGGATAAAACCAGTAGTTTTTTCCCTATCCTGCGCACCACCCTGTGTTCTTCAGGCAAAATAATTATCTGGTTTTGTTGCAACTCTAATCTGTAGGAAGACTGCAACTGTACAGAGATGTTTGTCTGCTTCTCACTAGAAGTTTTGTATGGAGAGATATTAAAAAAAGATTACACATACTTCTCTTCTAGCACAAAAATCAAACTACAACAATAACTCCTATCTCCTGTTCTCTGGGGTGTCACCTGAAAGAGCAGCAGCTCCCACAGGAGACACAGCATATGCAGCAGGATGAGACATGTTTCTGCCCTTTCTCTGCTCCTTTTTTGTAACGTGCCCTCAACCCACCAACATACCGGCCTCACGTCTTCATTTATTTCCTGCTTTGGCTCCACAAGCTGCTCCATGCCACTGTATTCCCACTCCAGTGCTATTACATCCCCGAGCCCTCCTCTTTCAGCTTGCAGCCTTATCGCTACAGAAACCAGAATCCCGACCTACCCTTTACATACCGATACCACCCACTTTACCTACTGCAACACCCACTTCAGTTCCTGGGACATCCTGCTCCCTTCCCCACAAATAGCTTTGTCCATGCTCTTCCTCCCGAGCAGCAAGTGCTGCCTCTTTTCTCGCAGTAAAGAGGGCAAGGGGAGCTACTGCACAGAGCAAATTGAACAGCACATTAAATACCAATCAGGAGAAAGTGCCTGGTGTAGAAGTGAAGATCCAGGTCAACATCAGCACCATGCGATAAACAACTACCTCTGGTTTGGGCATCTGATTTATAAAAAGGATATTTATTTCCCCATAAACTCTACAGCAAAATACGACCACTGCTGGAAAGCATTCTTTTCTGTGTTTAAGCATCCCTGTCTAGAGTCACCACAAAACATTTATCACTTCCTTTAACTGGACAGAATGTGTTACTGTAAAAATAGCTGACAGATTCAGCATTCCAAGTAGTGAAAATACTCCAAAAGTATTTAGCTATGTTCTGTTTCAACAAGCTGCACAATTCAAACATATGCAAGGCTACACAAATAGAAATAAGTTTACATTTTAAAACTTACTTGAATGGGCTTTCAATAGATGTGGTTGTAACTTTAAAGTGCTTGTATCTTCTTGCATTCATTCTTTCATTTGTCGTGATACCCAAGCAAGATATCTGAAGACAGGAAAAAGAGTAAGCCGTTTAGCTCATGTAAAAACATGCAAACAAGCCCTGCATGAGCTAGACTGAAAAAAAAGAGGACAAAATTTACTGTTTTATATTCCTTCTTTTGAAGAAGGAATTTTTGTCTGGGGAAATTAGCAGGTCCCAACATAAAACACCACACAACAGCTGTACCAGATTGTGCAAAAGGTTTAATTTTGAAAGTGATCAGAAATAAATCATGATCACTGAATAAACTGTGACAACTTAGCTCATAAGAAAGAGATGCCGTTAGTATATTGTCAGCTGAAGTGTACTCTAAGTAATAGATTCAGGAGTTACTTTACACAGCATTTGAATGACTTTCTTCCTCTCCTGACATTCTGTTTATAGCTCCAGTAATACATTTTCCCCCCATTTATAAATTTGTTGCAGTAACATAACTTTTCTGTCTGCAAGACAAAAAGATGACCAGAAAAAAAGGGGTTTTTTTTGTTCATGTTGCTCGTGTTTTTTCTTTTTTACAGAATCATTTGGCCCAAAGGCTACCATTTTCTGTAAAAGCTTTCCAACTAAATTAGCCTAAAAGGGTATCTCATGTAGAACTGGAGCTTACTGTAATGTGATGTAATCAGAAACAAAAATGAGAGCTCCCTTAGCAGCCTTATACTACATTCCTAGTGAAATATAAAGTCAACTCTGCTGCACATTACAAAAGCAAGAACATTTAAAAAGGTGAGTTTGGGCTGACTTGCCCCATTTGGATGTGCTTAATATCTCAAGCATTTTCTTTGCCTCCATGAAACCCAGTGAAGTTTCACAGCTATGTATACAAACAGGCTCTCAACGGCCAATTTTTGAAGTAGGAAGTAAAGGTTTTAAATTATTTTTCTAAGATAGTAAGTAGTGATAACAACAACTCTGGTCAGTTCATTAAGAAGGACAAGTCCAAACTTTATGATGGAGAGGGGAAAAAAAAAAGCAGCAAGAGTAGGGGCTATGCAGTTGCAAACCAAAAGAAGCAATTGAGAGAATATCTTTATCAATTTCATCATTACGGCAAACTCCAAAGAGATTTGCCAAGAATAATCTTAAGTTTTCAATGCATAAAACTCTTAGGAAACTTAGTACTATGACTGTGTGTTCAGTTTTCATTTTTCCAGGATTATTAAGGAAGTCAAATACTAGAATTATTTTGCTTAATTACACTAATGATACAAAATACTGCGAGATGTATTTTTCCAAGTGCCATAATTCAAAGATTCTTCTACACACAGATCGTATTAATAGGAATCCTCAATGGGGAACTTAGTGGATCATCATATAAGTATGATGGAAGGCTCTCTGGAAAGTCACATGGTTATTGTGCTAGAAGTCTGGTGGGTTAGACCGCTTTGAAAGCCACCTGAAAAACAAGTAGTTACCTCTGCTCATTTTTCTTGGGCAGTAAAGACCTCTGTAAGACTGAATGGCTCTCGCTCACACAGAAAAGATTTTGAAATTGATATAGGTTGTAAATGAATATTGTAGAGAAAGGAGGACAAAACTTAAATTTCCTGAAAAGTTTCACCTAAGCCTTAGAAGATTATTTTTATTTCCAGGATCTCTGGAAAGATTAAATTGGTAAGTTTCACGGTTCTTTAATGACAAGTCATACTGAAAGACTTTCAAGTCATACTTAAAGGTTTTCAGTATGACTTGTCTTTCCTTAAAAATGAGAAAGAAAAACTTGGGTTTGGTCAGATTACAGTACAGTAATGTGATCTCAAATGACACTGAAGCAGTGTAAAAAATTATTGCATCCCCTTTGAAGCTACCATCCTCTTTCTGCTAATGACATAGTGCATTACTTCAAGTTTGATCCACAGATCTTATCCTCTATTAGTCTTTATTGCCTTTCCCTGGTCTATTTTATGTTTTTGCCATTCTAAGAATGGAAAGCAGAAAGTAGGTATTTTAACCTCTTGCAAAAAAAAAATAAAAGCACAAGTGAATGAGAAGTGAATGATGCCTAATATCCAGAGACAACAGATGCCTGCCTCCTCCAGCGTGGCTGAGAGACTAAGCACTTGGTCTTGCATAATGAACATTAAAATTTAAGTGACAGAACTATTTGATATTCTCATGTCACTCCCAAGACTCAGCATTACAAATGAAGTGCTCTTCCATACCTGATACATCTGACACATGAGCAACACAGCCACCCACATGAAGTGAAAAACACTGTTCAGAAACATCCAAAACATCCATGGAGAACAGGTAGCAATCTGTGTAATATAGGTCCAAAATCCATCCTTTGCATAACTTGTCTCACAGTGGAAACCCCAATCTAGAGAAAAAACAGTGTCAAAAACCATACAGAAGATTTAAGATGTTTACTTTACAGCAACATAATGCCCACATTAGAATGTATTAAATTAAATAAGAAAATGACAGTGTGCTAAAGCAGTTTTACTTGCTCTCTCTTCCTTTCCCAACTCCTTGAATACATGACATATGCAGATACTTGGCTGTGATGAAAAAAAAAAAATCTAGGACAAGAAAAAACATAATCTTCTAACTTAAAATACCCAATATAGTCAATTAATAAAACGCAGTTCAATTCCAGATTAAAAATACCTAAAACTCAGATAAGGCAGAAATCTGTAAAAATCAATACCAGGAGATAAACAAAGTATTTACAAGCAATTAAAAAAAGTCAAACCCACACATTTACTCACAAGAGATACATCCATAAATCATCCAGCAGATCATAAAGAGCAGGAAGAACAGGTATCCCATAAAATAGCGATGGTTTCCTGCTCCTGAAGTTGCACAACAACAGGGATCAAATTACTACACTTTCAGATGACAACACTACACCAGAAAGTTTAATTGCTTGCTTACAAGTACTGCTTATTATTGTACAGAGAAACATTATTCTCCAATATTAAGCCAATAAAACTTCAAGACAGTGAAATTAGCTGGTTTACTATGATTTTTTTTTTACTTCTCAAACTAAGCAATGTTTTATTTTCTTCAATTTCTGTCACATTACAGCTGCAATTCACACAAATGCATTTCATTTGTAACATCTTTCATGAGCTAATAAAATTATTGATAGAGAATATTTAGAACAATGTTGGTGACAGCTGTTGCAGAGCCCTGAACAGCCAGGAATTACACATCAATAAATATTTTTCAAATTCCATTAAAAAATCGTCAGACTGCAGAGTTCACATTCTTAAAAGGAACAGAAATATGAATAAATATACAACCTCCCTTGATAATAGGCTAACTCGCAGCTTAGTTGTAAACCTGCTTGATGAAGCTAGCTAAAAATAAAATATCTAATAGAACTTGTAAAACAAATACATGTAACTGAACAGACGAGGACTAACAACCTGGCTAAAGTAATGAATGGGATAAAACCCGTTCTGCTTAAGACAGAATTTAAATGCAAGAAAATTCAGTTACTAAAAGACTGATCTATTTTTAATATTAATTGAGCTAAAAAGATGCCTCTTATGCGAGTACATCATAATCCTGAAGTACTTGGCCTTCCTTCTGTTTGTAAAGTATGTCCACTGTTGCAACTTTCCAACAGCTCTAGGCTGTAAACTAAACCCACAGAGATGATAACAGGCTACAAAAGATTTGGCTGTCATCATCTACCAGCACAGCATTTACTTCTTCATTATGTCAAATATTTTGCCTGCTAACACAAGAGCATCCTCTGGAGGCAGAAAATAATCAAGTGCTTTTAGCAAGTGAACTGAAAACTATATAAATAAGTGATGAGGAAAAATACACATACAACACAAGCTAGACTAAACACAAGACATTTCCTTGAAAATCAAACAAGTTCCTTCAGACATAAAATAGGTTGTAACACTTCCTTCAATAACCTAAGACCATATAAGAAACAGTGTTGGTAATGTCCCTAAGGTATCACTTTCATTTGTATTCTAAATTTCAGAATTGGTAAGTTTCAAAAAATACATTTTTTTTAAAAAATGGAAGTTAAATGGTGACCTAGAGGTCCATCTGAGATGATGAGATGCTTCTTTCAGCAGAATCTTCAATGATACTAAACCAAATTCTGCTTAACAGGAAATCTCTCTGTATTTAGTAAAAAAACATACAGGTAGCATTTAAAACTATGACACAGGTACAATCTTGGTCACAGTTAAAAAAAGACTTTGGAAAAAGGAAGTTGAGAAACTGCCTTTTTTCTGTATCTTAAATAAGGCTGGACAAAATACAGCACTATTTCTACAGTTTCACCCTGGACTGGCAGGAACACAGTCAGTTATCCTCCACAGTTAAAACAATGCTGTAAGAATTGTCGCTAATTTCTTTTATATGGTTTTGCTTATATTATACATAAGTAATAACATGGAGTTATATCACATGATTTAGACTATTTGTTCATTTCTTAATTTTTCCTACTGTTAGCTCCTTGGAGAAGAATCTTTACTGGGGGGAAAAAGTGATCATTATTCTAAACCATAAAATAATTTCTCATATACACAAGACCTACCTTCTGCGTCACTGCTATCAGAACAATAATTCAGTACAATGTCATCATGACCCATGTGACGTAACGGTTTAAAATTTGGCTCTAGCTCCGTTCATGCTATTACTTGAAAACTAAATTTCTCTTGCAAGTCTGCAGTTTGATTTTGAAAAGTAACTACAAGTTTCATAAAACCTGTTATTATTCATTTTCAAACTACCAACTGTAAAAACCATAATGCTATTTTGATACTCCATTACAAAGATAAGCATAATCACCTTTAGAGACTCACTCACTGTAATTTTAACTAAAATTTTGCAGGTATGATGAAAATAATTTGCCCCTATTGCCTATTTATTTATTTTCCAAGTAGTCTGCACTTTTTGTCAGCCTCTTCAGAATGGTAAAAATAGTCTCTCAATCTCTTTCTGCATCAAGTTTTATCACCAAAGGATTTATTTTGGAGTGTCTGTACACACTCTTACAATATTTCTCAGTCCTATCTTTAGTAAAAGTCTTATCCTTCTAACACATTCAAAGGAAGCCTACATAAAACATTTTCAAATTCCACCTTTCCAGAAAGGCGTGATTCATGTTTCCCTTTTTGGCAAACATACCATGAATGCTGTTTTAAGAACGGATTCTGTTTTGTAATCCTATGCTCAGTCACCATGTACCAATCTGAGAGAGACAGAGAAGCCATATAAGGTCATTTAGACCATCACTCCTTCCAGTTCAGGGCTGTTCCCATAGTGTGATTTCTAATGCTTTTTTCCCAGCATACTTTCAAGTGTCCTAATGTTTACTTTTACCTCCAGTTATCCCAGTCTGTACAAGACCACCACCACCAGTAGGAGGATTCTGCTTTTCCATCACCATTTTTTTTTAAAAAACTTTTCCTTCACCTAACTTAATCCCATTACTCACATGCTCTCTTATTACACACAAACTAAGGTCTTTCCTCCCTCATTTGTTTTTTATGCTTTTCCAGTTACTGATTAAAATACTGGATTCTTTCTGTCCCATGGACAAGTACTCCTCAGCACTCTTGCAAAACAAACTGTCACTAAACACACTCCAAAACCTGAGCCTATGCCCCCCAGCCTGTTGTAATTGAAAATGTCTTAGTTGTTCATTGTAAAACATCTAAAATATAAATCAAAAGTGCCTCAGGTAGTAACATCCGTAGGAAATATAAAGTAGAATGGACTGATTTGAGTCCACCTCAGTGAGACTTCAGTGATGTTCTATTACAACTCAAATACCAGCATTCACTATTTTACTACTCTTGATCATTAGACCAAACTACTGCGACTATCTGTTATTATATATATTTGGAAGGACTACAATGAAGCATTTATTGGCTGCCAGCTGTCAATGAATCCAGGTCCTAACTGCCCCCCAAGATTAAAGTTACCTCTGCTTGTGTCCTAAAAAAATAAACCAGTGAAGCAAGCTGCACTCATTTCCTAGCTGTGAAGCTTTCAGTGCTCCCTGCATAATAATGGCTTTCAAATAAGTTTCTCAAAATGTATGACAGGGAATAGTGGCATTTAGAGACTTTATTCCTGTTCTATAGCTGTTCCTTTCATCATCACTGGGGAGAATAAATGACTACCTGGGGGGTCAAAAAGAGGAGAATACCTCAATAGGAAGTCATTCTGTATCTAACTGCTATAATAATGACATTTTTGAATCGTGTACTTTCCCATTATATTACCAAAAATTATTGGTAAAGATGAAAATTTTTGTCTTATGTAAAGGAAAACAGTCAGCTGTGGAATTGGTACATGCCTTTTCTGCAGACTTTAAAAAGGAGTTAAGCTTTGCATCTTTTAATTACTAGAGTTTATGTTAATAAAAATAAATATATAGGAAACTGAATTAGACACAGAACAATTTTGAGGATGGGTATATAATAGACAATAGAAGTGAGAATAATGCAGAGAATCACATGTAGAAAAAATATTAAGCTCAATATTGAAAATGTTTTTCCTTCTACCAAAAGACCTTAACAGTTTTTCTCAGACTTTGGCAGAAGCCAAGTCACTTTCACCATGAAATGAGAACAGAAAAAACCCTGCAAAATACCCAGGGTCAACTTCAGAAGCTTCTCCCTTTTTTATCTGTTAAGACAACATGGTATTTTAGCAAATGACTCACCTACACAGTTACCCACCCACGGGCAGTGGTGATCAAACTTTGCTATACACCGATTGCATACACCACAGTGCTTGGACCTCACTGGCTTCCGTATCTGTAACAATTATTAACATTTGTTTAGAAAAGCAAAAAACCCTGACTTATCATAAATAGAAAAATACCCCTCAATTTACATTTAATTGATTGTGATATTGTTAACCCCTTAGAGAACTTCAAACTTGATGCTAATTTTTAAAGCAATCTTAGCTATTAAGCTTCATCTATACACTATTTAATACAAACTTCTATACAACCACATTGAAATCACTTTCACACTATTTTTGTTATATAAAGGAATTTTTTCCATACAAAGTTCTCCCATCACCTCCAGCTATTGAGCTTTATATAGTAACCAGTTTCATTTCAGCTTTTTAACAAAGAAAATAGAGAATGAGTTTGAGTTCCACAATTCTGTCAGTAACGTTCATAACTGAGCTCTAACATAAACTCTTCCAGCTTATTTTCTAAAGACAAGAATAGAATCAACAACTGGAACTCAGTGGGACTTCAAATGCTAAATTACTCCCAATGATTTTTTTTAAAAGTTTATGTTTTGAAAGAAATATAAAATGGCAATAGAGAACTGCTATTAAACTGTTCTGAGATATATATGCATACACACACATAATTTTTAAGGTGCCACATCTGTACATAATTTTCCAGATTAAATTTTGGGAATATTAACATCATTCATGTTATACATAGGTCAGAGCATTATAGTGTAACACTGATAAACCTGATAATTTTATACTTACTAGTTAACTTTCTAAAAAAGAAATGCATTACATTTACTATGGTTACTTTTTTTTTCCCCTTAAGCAGTTATTTCCTTTTAAATTTTCTGTGGTAAAACTACATATTAACTAGTCCAAGAAAAGTATTTGCTTGCAATTTGGCAAGCTTTATAAAAACTAAGATTTCCCCCCTGTCCTGATTACTACCAAATTGAGAAATACACTTGATTTTTGAAAGAAATTTTTTACTAGAAGCATCATTTACTGTGAGTTACAGAGGTGGTGGGATGCCATCTGTGACTTTCATAACTTGTTAGGTATACAACCAACCATCTTGGTAGGTATATTGGATACTTGGATTTTGACACTGGCAATTTATTTCCACAGTGATCATTTTTTTCTTCCTCTTATTGTTTGCAGGGGTTTTTGTGTACAGATACATTACAGATATATTATTTATTGAAAACACTGCTTAAATTAAGGATTACAAATAAACCCTGCCCTTGAAACTGCCTTATTAAGGCCAAAAAAGTGTTCAGTATAGGAACATCTAATTTTGGCCTAGCATTAAAAAACAAAACAAAACAAAACAGTGCTGCAATTGATTAAAAAATATACTACCAAGCAGGTACTGCAGAATATACTGAGGTCCAGACTTCCTGTCTCTGCAAGTTCTACTATCGTCTGCAGAAAAAAGAGAAAAGAAAAGAAAAGAAAGAAATTAGAATTTAGCATATAAACAAATGCTGACAACCATCATAACAGCTTCTTTTCAGATCCAGGGTTGTGAACGCTATTCATCTCAGGTACTTTCTACACACAGGAACAACTTAAATTCTGCTGAAACTGATTTTAAACCTACTTTATTAAACAAATATGCACATTTACTTCTAAATTAATTCTAGCTTATACTTATTCCTAGTCTATTTAGGTTTAGAAAAAAGGCAAGCTTATATTAATTTTGATACACCTACGCAGTGATTAACATCAGTTTGACTAACCTGTTGTTAAACTTATTAAAATTAATGCAGCTGAATTTCCAAACAGGAACATAAATAAAACTAGCTAGCAGGATCAGCCAGTCTAAAACCCAGACTTTCTTTCCAGAGGTATCCCATCAAAACCTTTAAATCTATATTCACCTCTTTCCTCAGATGTTGAAGCTTCAAGAAAGAAAAGAAATAATGCAAACCAAACCTCCTCTTACAGATAATGCTACACTTATGGGTCAAGCGATACACAGAAGTAGGAATCTGTTAAGCATGCCTTATACATTCACACTAAATGATGTATTTCCTTTTTTATTTTGTACACTCCTTCAGTACCCACTACATTGTTGGAATAGAAGGAACCTATTACTCCATTAAATGGTTTCCAACAATTTTTAAAATTCAGCAGCTGAAATCATGCCATGTGAACCTTAAATGACATTTGCAACATATGGAAAATATCATGAAAACTTTTTTCCAGAATATTCTTCCTTGAACCAGAAGGAGCTCACTCCGCATAAATAGCCTAATGGCAAATAGATTAATCTGTTCCCTTTCAAACCACATATATCATTCACATCAAAGTGGTTTCTAACTGCAGAAGCAATAGAATAGTCGTTACAACTATTTTCTCATCACAGTAATATAAACATAACTACCTTAATTAGACGATGACCACTAATGTGGGCATCTTGACCAAAGCCGCATAAGTTTTCCTCCAAGATACTACACTTAACTGGTTTGGAAAAATTTATGGAAGCTTTTCCTCAAAGTAACCAGTAAGAGCTACAGTCAACAGTCCAGGGGTAAATCAGTGTCTTAATGCTTTCCCTGCTGATCTCAGGTAAACGAGGAACAGTCTTCACAGTTTTCTAACACTCCTAAGCCCTCAAAGTTGGACTATTCTTTTCTCCTTGCCTGTTGTATTTCCATTTGCTATTGGCCCAGTATTCTTGCCTCCATCACTGCAACCCTTCAGATCCCCTCTCGAACCACCCACTGCCATTCACAAGCCCTTCCATGTCTCTCTTGCAGCTTGCCAGCTTCAGTACTCAACATCCCTTTCTCATCGCCCTCTGTCATCCCTCACTGCTCTAACATTTCCCACTACAGGACTTAAAATTAAAGGGCCTCCCTCACGAGAGTAACTTTTGTAAATAAACCAGATGAACAGAAAGCAAAAAACCCAACGAGATGTATCTACTGTGATTTCAATGCTGCTGGTGTGGCTTTTGATACCTTAGACAGTTTCATACAATACCTGTTGGACAATTTCATACATAGTTCCTCTGATTTCAGTGGGAGTACACACTACACTACAGACTAACGAAAGGATGCACCAAGGAATGTACATGGTGTGATGCTCAACACTGGAGTTCAGTATTGTCCACAAGCAAGATCCCAAAGCTCAGGAGAACAGAATTGAATAAGAGCAGATAAATCACTTAAATATAACACTCATCAGAGCTTATAACATAGAGACCCAGGAGTACTCAAGTTAGAGCCACATTGCTGTGCTTTGTAAACCTTGGGTCTATTTTCTATGCTTTTGAACTATTCGAAAAATTTATTTATTTTTTATTTACTTATTTTAAGAGTGACTTGGGTTATTTTGTAACATAGAAGAAAGGACATGACGTATCAGAAGGATAAACATCTGAAACTGTTGCTTACTACGCATTTCCAAACATACTTAACTTGGTCATCTGGAATTAAAAGAATTTTTTTGGTTGCTTATTCCAAAGCTAAAGGCTAACTCAACATTAAACGTCTGGAGACAAATCATGAAAATGTGAGAAAGCACTACATTGCATGAAGGTAAGACACACACCCTAAGATGGTTTATACCCCTGATAATAGATCATCTTACAGTTTGGGTAGCTGCAATGTAAGAAGTCCAAAACATTCACAGCCATATGCATCTGCCTGAAGACGTTGCATTTTACAATTCCTATCCAGTTCAGCCAGGCTTTTGTAACCACGCTTAACTACTTAAGCAAGCAGATCAAATAAATTGCATATTTGTGCAATTTGCTGAATCCAAACCAAAGTGCAGTTGCTGATTATTCTATTTAATTTAGTCCAGTTGAAGGAAGAGAACTTAGTCTGGAATTTACTTTGGCAAATTTGCAATAATAGAAAGGGAATTTGCAGAGCAAATCTGCACATTGACTAACAACTCAGTTATAACCTATTGGAGAATACAAAAATCGTTTAAGCTATTGCAACCATCCTTTCAAAGGCTATTACACGTCCATTCCTACACACGGCCATAATTCCAAGTGGTCTGATGTCAATCCATCCACAAAGGTGTTTCCACAAATGACTGTGAAGTAGAAGCTCAAGGATGTGAGCTTCTAGGAAACTTACCCAAAATGAAACAAAATGCTTCTGCTGCTTGTATAATTTTGGCAATTTTTCAATGCTCAGTTTGGCTGCTAAGAACAATGCACTTAACAGAAATCAGAAGTGCTAATAAAAGTGTTATAACATCTCAGAAAGGTATCATTAGATCATCCATATTTTCTCTAACATTTATACCAAAACAAAAGCCCACCCCAGACTGCCAGGGGTTTTAGTTGTTTTAGCCTCAAAAATGTTTGTCAGTCTAATACTTTTAGATGTAAAAGTAAGGAAAATTGGAGGTGCTTAAAAGTCTGGGAGGTTTTTATAAAATCAAATGAACTAACACTTTCCCCACAATGGCTTATTTGTTTCAGTAAGGCAAAACTCTGAAACTTCACATTTTCACTTTCACCCAACCGCTTTTTAAACTTTTTATCTTGAAAATTTAAGTTACAATTTTATTTTATTACTCAAAAAGACCAAAATGCAACTTTGGACCAGTAAGACTTGAACATATATTCCAAATGCAAAAAAAAAAAAAAGAAACCTGGAAGACAAGACTTTTCAACATTTTAGACCTTTTGTTATACAACAATTTATTGAAATTTCACGTACTGAACAGGAAACTACTCTGACCAACTGGTGGAAGGCTGCTGAAGAACAAGTTTCACATAGCTCTTGGCTTTACCTTTTTCTTTTGTTCTTCCGTGGCTTTGATGATTCCTGGATCAGATTTCCAGGATTTTCCGAAATTGTAGAAAAGTGCAATGCTATTAGCAAGGAATGGAAGATGTATAAAGAAAAAATTGAGATGTGTTTAAAGTCAAGGAATCTAAAGTTTAAAGCCAAATTTCCTCTTGAAAACACCCACTGACAATTCTGAAATAAAATTTGAATAAATTTAATTTTTACAAATGCCCTTGAGTCACTGTATTCTGAAATTAACAAAATTCAGCGCTGCTGTAAGAACTAGCTTAGTACTCAGTATTTTCTATTGCTTAAACTTGAAAATTTACTTTTTAAAATGTCGTTCTCCATGATGCATTTCTAAGGCACTTATCCTTCTAAAGAATGAATAACGATAGTTCAGTTTTTGTAATTATTTTCCCTTTTAAATAAATAAAATTCCATTAAATTTATCTTCTTAAAAGTATTTCCTGTTTTCAAAATAAACATTTCAGAGCTCTATTTATGAGATAGACATTTGACTGCCTATGTCTTCAGTGGCTTGACATTCCCATTAGATCACAGACAGGACTGTTTCTAGCCATAGAAGGAATTGTGCTGCAACAACCATTGGTGCATGGCAATCATGTCTCAACACTTATCTCCAAGAAAGGTACTGTCTGAAACCTGGTCCTATTATAAGGCAATACCCATATTTTACATCAAAGTTATTTTTAACATACTAATACATCTAATACTTACAAAACCACAGGGTTTAGTATTCTCTGGAAGTGCTTATAAAATCAATTACCATATAAAGACAGAAAACAACCATTAGTTTTAAAATGTATTTCCTGTGTTGAATGACTTGCCGTATAACATGCCTAGTCTTACAACACTTGACATTTCTTCACCAAATTAAAACAATTTGAAAAACCAAATACTTCAGATAAGCCGCTTCCACAAAAAGCAGAAAATTATTTACTCTGATAAATCTACAAAAGACTTGACCAACCTGACTAAAGATACCTGTCAGCTGTTAGTCCTAACTGTAAGGACATGCCATATTTGAGAAAGATGTGGTGGCAGAAGCCTCTACAGCATTATCCAGGCAAAAAGGACACCTATTACTCAAGCACAGTCATCAGAACTTCTACTGTATATAAGTTTAGTATATTGTGTGTTTACATTACAAAACCCTGAATATAAGACTTAAAAACAAGCATTATGTCGCAATCTGTAGTGAACTGGTATGTAACACTTTAAAGACAACAACAAAAAGCCATTTTTTCAATGCTTTGAAAAAATCTGATTTTGAAATTAGAACAGATGCTCAAGTATGTTCTGCTATATATCTACAAGTATATTCTATTCTGTTTGACCCTATTGGAAAAAATGTTTGTTAAAGGCATTAAGCAGTATTAAGAAAAAAATTATATAAACCATTGATAACTACCTGGTACAGCTACAAGCAAATATTTAATGAAAACACACACAATTTCTATAGAATAACTTCTCCACTGCTCTTGTGATGTGAAAAAACCCTGAATTATAAATACATACAAGTAAGGCCTCTTTTTGACTTCTGAAATACTAACAAAGCCTCATTGTTCATGTGAAGTGTATCCCGAATAACTTTTGTTTTCCTTCTGTTGGGAGGAGGAATTGGCTGTGAATTTCTAATTTAAAAATATTGGGAAGTTAAGTTAAAATTTTAATCATGTATCTTATACAATAGAATATTAGTATTAACTCACTAAAGGGTAATTAATCTTTCCTCTAACAAGCTGTTTCCAGCAGGTTTATAATAGGGAGAAAAAACCACCAGCTATACTATAACTTAAATACAGTTCTATTTGATACATTACAGATGATGAGTTCTGACTTTAATATTTACACAATCTAATTTCTTCCTTTTTTTTTTTCCTAAAACTACCTGCTGCCAAGTATAAGCTGGTTCAACTTACTTATACAGCTACAGAGAGATTACATTTTCTTTAGAATACTAAAAGTATCACTGGGGGTTTTGCTACAACAGTGAAAACTGTTTTTTCATTGAAAATACCTCAATCAGACATCTGTTACAAACAATAAAGGTACAACTGAAAAAAATCATATGACCTATTCCTAATTACTATACGTCATGTCTAGACTGTTGAAGATAGGGGGAAAGAATTTATTTTCTATCCAGTAGAAGGGGTTTTATAACCTTAAAATTTTGGAATTGTTTTTTTACTGACTAAAATTTGGGCAACCTGTGTGATAAAGAAGCCGTCCTTTTTCTGAACTTACCCTTCCCCCATTTTACTCCACAAAATACAGAGAGAGCATAAGAGACTTCCCACAAAGTCTAAGTTTTGCCTTTCCTTTTATCATGGTGGTGTCAGATGAGTGCAACACTGACGGTATAAACAGTGGCAGGTAAGGTACTTCCGTGCTGAGGATGGGAGATGTCAGGAGACTACATGAGAAAGTAGAGCAGTAACTATGTTAATGGAGAAAGACAAAGTCAGCAGTATTTTTCATTAGTATCTTCAAAACCCCATTTCTCATAAGTTTTAAGCAAAACTGAGGAGAAGGGATGAAAACCAACATGACTTTTAAGGAGGAAGGTAAGTTAGAATTGTCTTCTCCAGGATACTTGAGGCATATTACGTAAACAACTCCAACTGTGGGATTCATCTCACCTACCTTAAATCACTCAGTGTGCCTTCGTACACAACAGAAAAGAAAAACGCACATCCAATCTCTGTTCAGTATCAAGATATTTAAATTAAGTCAGAGGAGCAGTGCCCTCCAAGTGGCTTATATATGGATGTCCACACTAGAGGTATCTCAAGTTATGTTGAACTCCCTTTGAAGTTTACTTCCAAAGAGATCTTAGCAACTTGTATCACAGACATCTCTCAAAACTCTCCATAGGCAAGAAACCTTTGTAGGTTTGCATTAGCTACAGAGTAGGAAATCAGTTCTCCAGAGAGAGTGCCTTGTTTTGTCCTAACATCCTCCATTACAACTACGCAAGGAAAAATATGTTACCGTATTATTAAAGGCTGCAAAATGCATGATAAAGCAGGCATTCACCTTCTGCCCTGTCACCAATTTGCTGCCTTTTATGAAGTTTCCCCAGTTTTCATTGTGAGAGACAAAGCAGAAACACCCATGAAACACTTCCTACTTTTAGTCCTAATCAATATCCTTTTACTTATTAGAAAAAGTACAACAGGCTGAAAATTATTCCAGGAAACCATTTGGAAGCAAAAAGACCAACTCATTAAAAAGAAAATTAAAAGCCAACAAGCACCCCACAACCCATGAGTGAGGTAAACATGTGATGAGCTAATTTTTCATCCTGAACTGCAGACTGTTTAAAAGGGTGCAAACACATGCAGCTTCCTGCTATCACAGCAATACGTCATACAACAGTCTGAAAACAAGTAAAAAATGCACATTATATACCAAGATGCTCCCTTCCACTAACTACAAATCCAGTAATAAAGTCCTTTGCTCCTAACGAGAAAAATCTGCAGCCACTGTAAGCTGTCAAAGATCAATACATGCTAATGAACCTGCCAATTCATAACAGCTGTACATCTGGATCCAGGAGTCCAGGTAGATAACAGCAGACAGTTACACAAGAAGCCTCATTTGTCTAGGCATTTATTAGACAAAACCATTTTTAATCAACTGAAGCTCTGCAAAAGCTCTCTACCTCTATCTTCTAACATTAAAAAACCACTTAGCTTGCAAAAACAATTCATTCACTGACATCTCCCCCACCCCAGATTTTTTTTTTGTTTTTTTAATTTTAATTTAGAAAAAGTATTTAGAAGTTCTGGATAGCTGGGTCTGGGGTTTGGATTTTTTGAGTCTTTGGTTCCTCTAGAAACATGGCTGCACACAAGGAAATGAACGGCTGCATTTCTTCCTGCATGCAAGGCTTTTTGCTGTTTTCCTGAAGCTAATTTTGGTAATATGAATGGTTTGGGTTTTTTTTTTTTGTTTTAACTGCTTAACGGTACTCGTTGGCTTGTTACAGTTTTTAAAACACTATGCTATTGTAACAGCTTTGTGAAAGCATGAAAAATCATCATGAATTCTCTTACACCCAGTTTTTAAAATGATCCCTAATTGAAAAAGTATGCAGTGTTTGTTTTCTTTCATCTAAAACCCATCAATACATGAAATATATTTGAAATAAGATAATCAATACAGTATTAGTCAATGATAAATTATTTTTAAAATTATAAATTGGCTTATATCATCTCAGCATTGCAAGTAGTATGCTCTACCAAAAAAGTTTAATTAACGAAAACTGCACACTCCCATTTGCACCAAATGGAAGTGGTAGAACCAAAAAACCTGCCTGCGAACATTTTGGGTTACAGCAAACCCTGACATCTTAGAAAAACAGAGCAGTATAAGAACCTTCTGACATAACAGACACTATTTGTTCAGCTGGAACTGAAAACACTGCGTGAACAAGTGAGATATGAACTCAGTGCATGTGCCCTGAACTTTTACAGGACACAGGAGAATGTTCTACCTATAAGTGCTAATGAAAAAGAATGAAATGTGAAATTCTAGTCTCAAGTTATTAAAACTACTTTTAAATCCTTTTTTTTTCTTTTAAAAATAAAACTAAATTAAAATATAGTGATTTAGTGTGTAGGATTTTTGAGGGTTCTTTTCCCCCTACTCTGCAAACAGTAGAAGATTAGAATACACTAACAGAGCAAGACATAACTACCCTTTGTTATGGGCAAAATACAGTTAAAGGGAAGCAGCAAAATAGCAGCAAAACAGTGGCAGGGAAGCATAGCACTATAGACTCACATGATCTGTGTATTTATGGATATAACTTCGTCATTCCCAGCAGGAATAGGATTTCTATTTTAACAAATATAGCAGACTCAGAAGCTGCTGAGAAAAATCTATAGAACGGAAATATTTACAAAAATTCAGTACACTAGATTCATCTAAACTGTTTGAATTTACTTTCAAGATTGGTCTTTTAGAAGACACATCATTAAGCCTTAGCATTTATAGGCTTGTCATGTGACCACCCTGAAATTCAAGAAAACACACTGCTAATCTTTGGTTTTGTTTGTTCTTTATGATACATTGTTTCAACTGCCCTTTTCTGTCTCATTAGCACTAAACCCAGAAGACCTAATGATCTTCCAGACACCTTCAAAATATCTACAAGTAAAGAATATTCTTACCAAACACCCAAATATTAAAGTAATAATTGCAGCAATTAAGACCTTTAAATTATTTGTAATACAAAGTTCTAGTAAGGCAATTTGTGATAGTTTAAGATTAGAAACTTTTTTCCTGAGCAAAAGATGGTCAGAACTTGTGAAAACTACCAGGATAGGTTTTATCACTTGAATGTTACAGACTATAAAGTAGTACTTTGGTCTGCTGTAAGTAATCATATAAAGCTGTAAAAATACAAGAATCCCTTCTCCAACCACAATGCTGTGCCTCATGCCATAAAAGTAGAGCAGGCATGCAATTTCTTTTTTCCAATAAAGCTACAGGGCAATTTTCCAGAAGAAGAATGAATTTGGAATCTTATTACAAAGACTTCCAATTAAAAATCACCAATTAAAGGAAGATGGCCTCAAGCACTAAGTCTCTAAAACTGCTTGTCAGAGAATTGTGTCAGCTCTAATGAAAGCAATTAGGAACTAAAGTTTTTAGACTACTACTTCTGTGTACAAAAAGACTGTTGCAAAGGTTTTGAGGCACCTACCTTAAATTCTAGAAGCAGTACAGTATTTTACTGACATTCTGAAGTCAGACTTTATTAGGGTAATTAATTGTCTATGGTTACTACTTCTAGTGGGCAAGGAACATTATTCCGTGACCAAAAAACCCCAAAACTTCACGTTACATTAATCAGAATGGCTAACAAATAAAAATCTAGGCAAGTTGGTACAAATATGAAGAAAATACAAGCTTTAGGATAAAAATCTCACAATTTGCCAGCCTAAAGGGACAGCTTTCTACCATCATCAAGTTGTGTTGTCTGTGCAGCCATTTTAATATGGTCAAGGACTTGATTTAAAGTTGCACACATTCTTAGATTTGGTTCAAGTTGATGTTATGTTAGCACAAGAAAGCATTTCACTGTAGCTCAACATTTGCAACCCAAAACATGTAGTAGCATTAGCAAACGTGAGTTTCTAAAGAAACCCTATGGGGTACGGAGAACTGAGATTCAGAAATGAGATGGTGTAGTTATAATTGCCTCAGAAACTTGTATTTTACTATTTGCCAAAAGTCAGGTTTTCTTAACAAGAAGAGAAAAGCAACTTCACTCTAGAGGCATGACATACTTAGACAGTTCTACTCCATTCCATAAAACCTGAAAAAGTATACCTCCATTTTTAACTACTACTTTTTAAAATGTTTTTCATATTCATTTTGCACTCGCTTTCCTCATTCTGCAGTTACTAGTAATTTTAATTGAGTAAAAACATAGAATATCAGGCCAGAGAGACTGGTAGTAGGACCAGCATTTCTAAATAACTATTTCAAGACATAGTCATGCTAATACTGAATAGAATTACTTTTTTTTTTTTTAACTTAACAGCTACTAGATTTTCATTTTTAGGCTTTTAAAACGTGAAATAGCAGTCATCTCCAGTCACATGGGACTGCTATTATTCACAGCAGCACCTTTGCAAACACTGTCAGCATAGAAACCACGGGCAGCATGGAAGCAGGGTCTCCTCTCTGTTCCCAGCCCAAAAATGTGAGTCTCATTTAGCTAAGGTTGGAGAACATATTAACAAGATGATAAAAGGGTTGCACTGCTACTATCCTATTTCATGGTAATTCCTTTGAGGAGGAAAAGAAAACCAGTTTCTAGAAAAGCCAAGCCAACATCCATCACAAATACTAAGTTCACTTCAAGTATTTACAACTGTAAGAACTGTATTAAACATTTAATAAAACATTAAATCTCTATTTTCGTTTCTTGGTTATTGTAATTACAACACCCAAGGAAGTTGTTTAAAAATTTGAATATATTTCCTTAAGGTGGGGAACTGACGTTCTTCAGTGTACTCAATCATTTTCTACCCCTGTGAGTACAATAAGTTCCTATCTAGGCAGACCGTAAAAAACATAAAAAGATGGGCATATGCTGAATCTGTATAATCTAGTGTTGTTAATACATACATCTTCAAAAACTGAAAATACAGTTAACAAATGTATCTAAAGTCTGTACAAAATGGAATTTGCAAAATCTTTAGGAAGAACTAACTATAAAGCTAATTCCATTGAAATTGGTATATACCATGGAATTACCTACTGCTTTGCAGAAAAGCAGTGTGTAAAAATGCAGTCAATTACACCTTGTCACCTCACAGCCAGAGTATATTTTATAGAGTTGCTTACATTTCCCCCACTTAAGAAACTGGTAAAGCACAGGAAGCTTTGCAGACTACTGTAAGCCAATTTTGAGGAAAATCTTTCACATACTGAAGCAAAGCAATAGAGCGCACATTTTTAAAGCAGTAAAATAATTACCATCAATATAGAAAGCGATGTTTAATAGAGATAGCCATTTTAAAATTTTAATTCATTTACTTACTCTTATATATACGATATATCTAGGTATTAACTCATACTACTAACATGGAAAAGGATTACTTATTGCTGTACACAAAAAAAGGATATCATTCCAAAACCAGAAGAACCACGTCACGTACATCCAGAATTTTGTTGCCAAGTATATTCCAAGAGGCAGTGCACTGTGCATGGAGTGATCAAAGAATGACCTGTAAAGTAGGAGCAATGTCACATGATAAGTTTCGACTTATAAAATGTAAATCCTGAGCTATTGCTTCTTAAAAACACTTCCTGTTAAAATATGTACTATATGGGATATTGCAATATAAACCATAAAAACATTTTCCTCTCTTTTACCTTCAAAATTCATGAGAAATTCCCATCTTCAACCTGTCCAGGTGAAGGGTCATGACTGAAAATTATTTAACTAAATTTATACATTTGCTTTTGAAGTGAATGTCAAGAACTGGACAAAAAAGGTAGAATGAGTAAATACTCATGCTAAAACAACACTGTGAAAGCACTTAGAAATGTGTCAGATTCCTAGCCTACACAGATAGTGGTTGCAAACTACATTTAGTTATGAGATTTCAGTGCTAAAGATATTTTGGAAACCCATGCAATGAAAATTACACATTAAAATTACTTCAGTAAGAAAAAAAAGCTTAGGAGACCTTGGTGTTATCAGCCTACATACTTGAAATATTTCAGATTCTTGAATCTTTTGCCAATAGAAAGTCGGAAGAAAACCCAGATTAATTTACTTCCAACATCACTAGATTTGCCAAGTTCTAAGATAGAATGCTGCTACTTTAATTAAAAAAAAAAAAAAATTAAGCCACCAGAGTTATTTTCTCCTTCTTATACTCTTGCATTTCAAAGACTTCTCTGAATACAGTTGATCATAGTGGAGACAAACTAGGTGAGTGTCTAGGTTACTCCATATTCAAGAAAAAAATTGCTAAACATATCAAAGATCACACTGAACTGCTAAACTCCCCGAAATAAAACTTCTTCCATCATCTGCCTAAACTTCCTTACATTGATGCATTTTGCTTTTTGTCCTGGTGGTGCCCTCAGGTCTGCCACAGAAACACGTGTGCACTGAGTAGTTTCCATTTCACTCCTTTACTCCCTTGCAGTAACTGTCTCTTCTCTAATGGAAGTTTCTTAGGCCTTTTGAGAAAATCCTATAAGGAAAATGAGCTAAGATGGTGACTAATAAGTGAATATACACTTGGACACACAGTAGTTACTCAGCAGTAATCTTTCAGCGATTTTTGCGCATTTTTTGTGTGTGTGAAAAGAGTAGGGAGGAAAATACAGCTAGGCAGATTAGCTAAAAATTCCACAGGGAAAGGAAATCCTACTAGAATAATAGCAAAAGATTCATTCAAACCTGGGCTTTGTGAAAAACACTTCAAAGTACTTATACTAAACATTAAGCAAAGGATAAGAGAAAGTAAGAATGTTAATCCTGAATACGTGTCAGGTAGGTAAAAATGTAAAGCTTGACAGAACATAGATCTTGAGAAACTTGAAGAAATCTTGCCCTTGCTTCATGCAGGAGGCATGGTTGAGGATCTGCATTGCCAAATAAATTATTTGTAGGAGGAGGTCAGCAAATTGCACAGCCGCAGAGATGACAAAGAGACTAAACAGATCATGTTGAAGATCCTGGAGAGGTAACAGCTTGATGCCCCCTCACCCCCTTCCTGGTGTACTAAGTTCACTAAGATTCTATAAACTTGCTTTACAGAACAGATATATTTTCTTTTCCTCTTTAAAAGGAAAGGAAGAAGCAGCAACTGTTTCTAATAAGCATTACATTCAATACCAGAAAAGCAGAAAGCTCATAAGTATGAAATAGTAAGTCCTTCTATACACGCCACACATGACAATGAAAAGCAAAGCACAGATGAAGTAGTCTACAGATCCTGAAAATCTGCTGAAGCATGCCTGTGTGTGTATATGCACATGCATTTACAGATAATTAAAGCAATCAGAATCACAACTAAAATTCTTTATGATCAGGTAACAAATGAAAAACATTACTAGAAAGCAGCCTTTTTCTTTAGTCACCTGTTTCTACAACAACAGAAGCTATAAAACCTGACTCTAACTTCATTTATCTCTAAAAATCTCTTCAGATGCCTTTGGGTATTCAAATTCTAAAAAAATTTGGTTTTAAAAGCAAACTCATACATGCATTTTTTCTATTTCTTTCTAGTAACTTTTTTCTTGACTGTTTTCTTCAAAATTCATGCTGATTACTGTAGACAGACATTCAGCACCCTCTTCTGGAGAATGACTGAACTTCTGTTCTGCTCTTAGCTTCTATTACCTCAGTGGTATTCACCCAAGGCAATTCCATGGCTATTCGCAAGACAACAGAGCATTACAAGAGCTAAAGTTCCACAAGATCTTTCTCAGAAACAGTAATAAAAAAAATTCCAACAAAAAATAAATGTTGCATGTCAAAAAACCCACGCAAAAAATAGAAAGTTAAGATTACTTATCCAATAAAGATGCCAGCAAAACACTTGTGCACACACTAAACAGACAGCATCCTAGTAAAACACTTACTTTGAAAGAAACTGCACCATAGCCCAAACGCCACCATACATCAGCCCTTTAATGAGCCAAGAATCAATGTCTAGGTCTGCTATAAACCCAACCAGCCAAATTACTAGGAAAGGAGTTCCCAGCATCACCTTCTGACGGAATTCCTATATAGAAACAAACATCAGTAAGTGATTCTGTTTTTAGGAACAGGTTGTATAATAATATTCTACAATAAATAGGACAGTCACAAAAACTTAAATAAATTTTCAGGAAGCTTGGCACAGGGGGAGGAATCTTCAGAAATTTTTGTTGTTTCCTATTTTTACATATCTCCAATGTATGGACAAGAAAGAATCCTCCTAAAATTTTATAACAAATCAATAATTTTATTTGTTTTTAAAATAACTGCCTTTTAGAGACTTTACTGTTAATCCAGAATAAAGGCAACAGTACCTCTTTTTTAAGAATTTAAGTGTATAAACTACTACACAGCACATGGCAATCTCAGTGAACTTTAAAGACTGAATTTATGGAACAAAGTCATACTGAAGTGTCTATGAAGACAGAACCTTTTTTGTCTTATACTATGTGGGTACAATTCCTGATTAAGGCACTGAACCCTTTCCAGATATTCAAAGCACAGTCACAATGCATATGTACACATAACACAATGCACAAATCACTTAAAGTCAATAATCACTGCATTATTATATTACCACAAGATTAAAGCACAGTGCTTTAATCATCAAGATGCAATGTATCTTTGAAGCAAGAAGTCATAAGAAATCAGTGATAGCAATACTTAATATCCAGCACAACACTCTGCATGATAAGAAAATATTAACTCTATGCAAGTTCTCAAACTATAGGCAGGTAGACAGGTCTTCATGCTAGAGCAACACGTTACCCTTTATATCCTCATTTCTTGTCTCCTCCTATCTACAGTGTTAAATAATAACCTGAGAAGAAAAAGGCCTCCACATTAGAGATTCATATATTACATCATACTGCCAAGACTGAGTGCTGCTTTCGTTCAACTCAAAACACTGCATAATCAGAGAGGAGATCAGAGTTCACGATATCTAAAACGCTTCTTTCCTGAGACACTTGAGAGTCAGCTTTGTGAAAGTCTTGGCTATCCCCAACAATACCAGACCACTTGGTACTTTCCTAACATTCAATTAGAACAAAAGCTAAAGGTAACTGTGTGGAGGCTTAGGGTTTTCTTTCCTCCTGCCTTGAACAAAGATTTGTTTTTTTTCTTTTGCAATTACTTTTGTCATAACAAAAAGGCGTTTCCCAAAACTGAAACGTGGGGAAACCCAGTACTGAACTGCTTACCTTAAACAAACACACAGGCCCCCAAGCCAACAGCAGCAGTAATATTGATTTACGTGTTACACTACTTCTTACCTTATCAGCTTTTAGTTTTCTCAGAAAGGATGGACTGTCATATCCCTTTGCCTGTCTTGCTTCCTGTAGGTGATTGATCATCCAAACGTTTTTCCTCTGTTTTGCTAGATCAAGTGGTGATTCTCCCTGCCAAGAGTATAAAAGTGGGAAACAGCCAATTTAAAAATAAAATGCATTCAGAGCACTTTTGAAACAGAATATTGCAGGTAAAAATAATACATTTTAAATCAGATTAAGCTACGTTCTTGCATACTTTTTGCTCTGCAGCTTACTTGACACCAAACATCATTCATTCCTTTTGGTCTTTTTCACTCTCTCATAACTATACATGCGTGGACAAGTAGTAGAATATTAAATGTGTGATCCTGACAATATGTATGTCCTGACATAGCAATAATTGTTGCCTTTGGCATAACACATCTACGTTTCACTGTTCTACACAGTCTACTAGTCTGTAAATGAAAGACTGTGCTTCCCCCTCAGCTATTGACAGGCAGCAGAAATCAAGCAAAGAATAAGAACTTGTGACCCACTGGATCATGGAAACTCTCCCAGTCTAAAGCCTGACTTCTCAGATAATCCTTTGCCCTTTTGGCAGAGTGAAGTTACTAATATCATGGAACGTTTCTATAAGGAACTTTTTCCACAAGCTTAATGTTCTTATATTCATCTCAGTTATGGAAGTCCTAGGAAGAAAACAGGAAAGAATAAACTGATTGCTCATGTCCAACTTATTCCAAAACTCTGAGCTTTTATGCTTAGCTTGTGCTTCATATACTTTGGCTGCTAAGCCAGCAACGGTCCATGCTTTCTCTTTCCCTACTTTCAGAGAGGACTGACAGACAAAGCAAAAGAGAGAGAGATACAGGGGCTAAAGGTGCCTGCCAAACTGATTTGATTTTATTGCTTTCTAAACATTTAGGAAGAGAGCTAAGTGAAAGTTATTGACTGGGTCTAAAATTATAGAGGAGGCAAGAGACAACCAATTGCAGGTACCTCCAGCTTCAGTTTTGCATTTGACTCCTCCTCTCTTCTACTGGAGTTAACTCCCCTCCTAAACAAACCATTCATGGAGGCTTGAAAAATGGCTGAATCCTCCATCGCTCGGCCCCCTCCTAAAAAAAAAGTGAGACAGGTACCAGAAACTGAAATTACCCAGAAAGGGCAATAATTACTATAGACAGAAGAGATTTCAAAGATTAAAGAGTACAGTTAGCTACCTATATCCCATAGAAAGACAATGGGAATTGAGTACTTAACTGTCATTTTTGCCTTTGAAATCTTGCTCCAAACCTCTTAAAGGAGACTAAATAGCACAGACTACAGATTAAGTGAAGCTTTTTGCTGCTTAACAGGATCTTGCGCTCCTGTGCGAGAAGTTTAACTAGCAAAATCAGTTAAAAAAAAGAATAACCTTCTGACTTAACTTGGATTCAAAATTGTTTAGCCAGATGTTTAAGAAACAGATTAAGTTAACTCCATCCTCAACAGAAATGCCTGAAATCAAACTACGGTGCCTGCTTCATCACAAATTTAATAGCACCTTGAATTGCTAATATCTGGAAAACTCCAGAGATGATGCTGTTTTAATATCACCTTATATATCTAGACTGTAAAGATTACCTGTGGACAAGCAATCCCCTCTGGGAGTTGATCTCCCAAGTAAATCCTGAAGTTGTCTTGGGGTCCAGCTGAGCATCCCTTCCACTAGAGGGCCATGAGACACCTAGGAACTGCCTAGATAAAAAGATTGAGGGAGCTTTAAAGAAGTCTTTGACTATGCTTCTCATCATCTGGCCATTTTAATATTTTCCTTGTATTCACAGGGGTGATGGATGGCTGACTTGCTTAGAAAGAAAAAAAAATAATCAGGGAACTTAATCTCGTAACACACTTAGTTTGCCAGCAAGTAATAAGGCTTCAGTAGTATATATTTAAAGTGTTTAGATAGAAAGAATAATCTGAAGAGTAATTACCATAGGGAACTTTACATGTAGACTTCCACAGACAAGCCTACAGATACACTGCATAATCAAGAAACTACATCTAAAGTTCATTCAATGATTTGTTAACAGATTTAAAAAAAAAAAAATCTTCCTTAAACCATAAAAGCTCTTTTAGGTCTCTATCACTCTAGAAAAAAGGAGCTTCTCCTTATACTTAAATAAAATTTAAAGGTTTCCCCCCCAGCCCCCCAGTGATAAGCTGTGAAATCATGTCCTCATCCCTCATCTGCCCAATCTGTCTACTGGTATGGCAAGATAATTTCCTTAACAAAAAACCCACTCTATTTTGACTACTAAAAAGCAGTTTCCAACTTCAACTGTAATCCAGTTCTCAGTAAGGAAAAAGAAAGTATCTTAGTACCAAAAGAAAAGTATTATTTTCTTGTACAGCATAATATAAAGAGGACAAATAACACAAACCAGGACAAACCCCACTGCTTGTATCAAGATTTATTCTAGAATAAGAGTGCTATTGTTCATGTACTTCTCAAACTGTCATGCAAAGTAAAAAGAGCACCTTACTGAGATGACTGGTTCCAATTTGTTCCAAACCTAGGCAGCCAGCAGCATGTGCATTTCTAACACAGACTGCCTAGAGCTAGTAACAACAAGGTCAAAGCTCACACCTAATGTTTCAGCCACTTCATAATTTGAAAAAGATGAATGGCTTTCAGCCAATGTATTTCTTTAACCTGAGCTGTCTTACCACCATTCTTGGTCAATTCCATGGGCTATCTGAGAAAAGGACCTCACTAGATAGTGCTGCAGAAATCTGGAATTGACTGCATCAAGAAAGGAGCCTTTCACGATTCCTGTTATTTCTGAAGAAACATGAGCCAGACACTTAACCACCAGGTTTTGGCTCAAAGAAAACTTTTTTGCTGAACAGTCAAAGGAGAAGCACAAAACTGAGTTTCTATATACCTATAAAAAAATCAACCAAATTCTTATGTTTCCTGTATGTTTACTATCACCCAAATCAGCATCTATTACAAAGCCAGTGGCAGGATGGCAAAATTGCCACTGCTAGAATGATTTTGATCCTCTGAAGATCCTAGAAACTTGGGATGGCATGCAAGAAACGTAGGCTCCACCGCAGAAGGCAGGCAGTGGTTCATGAAACCAAGCACACGTCTTCTGGCATGACTGGAAAGATATCATGATCCAGCAGGTTCAAAAACCTATTTTTCTACTGACTGCTGCTGTCTGTCAATAGAGAAGGAGAGACCATGAACTGCTTCAGGCTAGCAGATACTTTTTCATATGAATTTTTACTATGGATTTCATAAGAGTTCAGAAATATAGGTAAGGTGATGACTTTAAAACTCTAGTCACACTAATCAGTCTACCAAGGGAAGCAGGGTATAACACACTGATTTTTTTTCCACAAAAATACTTTAATTTTTAACACTAGGTGGCATAGAAAAAAGCTTTTCAACCGTTTACAAGAAGCGATACTAGAAGCATAATTCATCCACACGACTGACCTTACAGACCAGGAATAATTATTATATATTCACACCAGTACATGAAGAGGCTAGTTGATTTGTTTTAAACACGTGAAAAGCCATGTGAGTTTTCTAATGAGTTTTCATTCATGATCATCAGTATTTCTGATATTCTGTTGTGGATGTAGGACTGAGAAAGCTACTAGCAAAGTTTGACTGCACCCTTAAAAAGGCTGTTCCATGCTGTTCAAGAAAATGGAAGTGTGTGTGTGTGTATATATATATATATATATTTTTTAGCATATTTCTATCACTTGTGGCCAAGCAAAATAGGCCCTGGCCATCTTAATCAGTAGGAAACATGGCGAAAGGTCAAATAAATTTAATTAAGTATTAAATATTTATAAAATGTAGATTTACAGCTGTATTTTCCAGTATAACCACTCCATCTGTAACACTCATTAAGTGGAAAATACAAATATTTGCAGAGAACTTGAGCAGAGAATTCTTTTTCTAAAAGTGACTTCTCTGACACCACAGATGAAACAGCTTGGGTGGTAAAGTGCATCTAATTTGATATATAGAATAATCTGGAGGCAATGGACAAAACCACATTCACTAGGTGCACCTCCCGCTCCTGGAGAAGCTCTTACAGACTCCAAGTCTGTGGCATAAATTCTAACAGCTGCTTGGCTGGCCTAACATATGCTAGGGAGGGGCTCTGTTACTGCTGAACCTAGCTTCATTGTTAAGAGGTTCTGGGAGAGTGATCAGGCAACTTAAAGTTCTGATGCAAAAAAGAGCCCATTTTCTTATTTTATTCCTACTGGTATTTTTAGTCCTTCAACTTCCTTACTGCCTCTGGGAGATACAGTAGAGCATTTATTGTCTCTCTGGAAGAGGACAGAAATGTCTCACTTCTCACTCCAACAAACAGACAGTCACCCCAGAACTTAACTAGAAGACATCCAGTCAGATTTCCAATTTTGCATCCAAATGCACAGGTCTTCACGCAGGTGGTCTAATCACACACCCCACTCCCATATATTTGCACATAACCGTTGGTAAATTATTTACATGAGTGCTTTTGAAGGTGCAGATTTAGTGGCTATGCATCACTGTTAAGAAAAACTGATTCCCATATTAAATATTAGTGGCATGGCTTTTGCTTCATCTTCATGATCCCACCATACCCACAATAATAATCTATTCTTGAGATTTATCATAGGCTCTGTTATTTCTGCCTCAAACCACTTACAATAAAAACAGACCGAGTGTTTACCTTTATATTTTGAGCATCAACATTAGCTCCAGCTTCTAACAGAAGGCTAATAACTGTAGTATTTCCTGCTAGCACAGCCCAATGCAATGCTGTGTTTTTGTGATATTTGTCTCCAAGATTAACAGAAACATTAAATGTAAGTAGTAATCGGGTTGGATCCACACTAGAAAAGAAAATTCTTGTTAGATCTACAGAAGATGAACTCAAATACATACCAACTTAATTGTTAATGAGTTCAATTTCTACAAAGACCATTGATCAGCGACACTATGTAGTAGCAAAGTGACATTTTTTGCCCATGATTATGAATGGCTCGACTTCCTTTCGCCCCAAATAGCAACCACAATTCTGTTGACTTTTAAAGGAGCTCAGTAAGACAGCTTGTTCTGGGATGCCATGAAACATTTATTATACAATTCTATTTTCACGTTTACTAAAACCTAACAGTATTAACAGATTTGTAAAAGCATGCACATGATTATATACTTGGCAGATAATAATCAAAGTTCAAAACATGCTATATTTCCACTTTACATTCCAAAAGATGAAAATAAAATAGGATGATAATGCTCATTATGGTAGGTATTCGTTAAAGCTAGTCTATGTTCCTCTCAACAATCAATGGAGATAGGCTCTTCCGAGCAGGAATCTAATTCATACAAATTTGCTCTTTGGAGAAGTGTTATTTTACACCAACTTCTCCCAGTCATCCCCACAGGAAGATTTACTTTGTAAACTAGAAGTTCATATTAGTCAGTACTTCTGCATATCCTCCTCTCTCTTGAAGAGGTCATTGTACTGGTTTTGGCTGGGATCAAGTTAATCTTCTTCATAGTAGCTCCTATGGTGCTGTGTTTTGGATCTGTGACCAAAATGGTGCTGATAACACACCCATGTTCTAGCTACTGTTGAGCAGTGCTTACACAGCATCAAGGCCTTTTCCATTTCTCACGCTGTCCTGTATCTGACCCCAACGGACCAAAAGGAAATTCTGCACCAGATAATGGCATCCTAGGCAATAAAAGCTGAGGGAAAGGAGGAGGAAGGGAGGACATTTGGAGTGATGGCATCTGCCTTCCCAAGTAACCGTCACAGGTGATGGAGCCCTGCTGTCCTGGAAATGGCTGAACACCTGCCTGTCAATGGGAAGCAGTGAATGAATTCCTTACTTTCCTTTGCTTGGGTGCATGGCTCTTGCTTTATCTATTAAACTGTCTTTATCTAAACCCACGAGTTTTCTCACTTTTACCCTCCTGATTCTCCTCCTCCCCATCCCGCTGGGCAGGAGTGAGCAAGTGGCTGCATGGGGCTGAGCTGCTTACTGGGGTTAACGCACAACAATCATAAATGAAGAAAGATAAAGCGGCAATTGTGGAAAGAACACTGACAAGTTAAATGAGAAAAAACTTTCAAAACATCAAAACCAGTCACTACTATATGCTGCTTAGTTAACATCAACAGAAAGTCAAAACTGCAGTGAGATATTACCTATGCGTTCTGTAAGCTGCCCACATTAAAGGTGTCATTCCATTTTGATCCATCATATCGACATCCTAAAACAGGAAAAGAAAAAAAAAGTTGGTGACATAAGTAATCACGCTCAAGATCTAGTAGATACAAGGTTTGCAATGAGAAGCAGTATTTTAAGACTAACCAACTGAATTGGAAAAAAGCTGGCAAGCTTTCAGTACATAATAAAGTCGTATTTAAAAAATGGAAACAGACATCAACACCACCATTGCAAAAATATAACCATTCCAATCTATTTTGGAAACTAGGGAACAGTCATGCTGTATAAGACTAGTCCTTTCTATCTTACTATTAATCTTCAACATAAAAGATATATATAGATGGCGTACTACTGCACTAAAAAGCAGGAGAAAACTAAAATAATGTGCCAATATTTAATAAAATACTTGATAAATTAACATAAATAACATAGCCTGAATCCTACATCCTAGTGAATGCCAGCTGCATCTATTCTTCCACTTGCAAAGCAATTTGCCTTAGTTCACTCAGTTCCAAAGGTATTTACATATCTGGATAGCAAGTTAACGGATGCCAAAAAATTTTTAAGTTTAAACAAAAGCCATTAATAAAAACAACCTACCCAGAAACAAAACTGATTTATAATCAAGTGCTGACTAAAATGATGGCTAAAAATAAAAAAAGAAAAAAAATATTTACATTTAACAGAATATAGCCACAGAATGACAAAACAGCACCATCCAGACAATTCTCTTCGATCCATCAGAAAGGATCTAATACCTAGAGTTTTTTCATGTTATATATCCCTGCCTCACTAACACAGAAGTTGGTAATTCCCTAAATACATCGAGGCAGATAAGATTCTCAAGCACATTTGGGTAAGTTCCACAGACCACTACTAACAAAATTACTCTAAGCTAACTTAATGCAAGACCTGAACAGTTTTCCTTAGGAGGCAATAGAGCTATGTCAGTATCACCTATGCTACTCCACTCAGTCCTCACTAGGAAAATTAGGTTGAAAGTGTTTCAATATTCTTTTTGCTACAGAAACTACTGACAGAAACCCAAAAAGTGGCTGATGTTGCTTTATCACTCCCAGAACTTTCTTCTCTGCTTCAGTAGTCTGCCAAATGCCCAGCAGCCTGGGATCCACTCACAGTGATGCTAGCCTGACCCAGGCAAAAATTTTCCAGAAAATCCAATTTAGTTCTTCCAAATAACTGCTTTTAAAGCATCTCTAGCCTGTAGATAACTTTAGATTTCTGAGGTTTTACTCTGTTGTTTAATTAAAAAAAAAGCCAAAATTTAAAAAACAGTTGATGGAGAGGAAAGAGAACTTTATTGTATTGTTTGTTCAGAAAAGAGTTACATGCATTGAGACCAGGATCCAAGCCTGTTTGCCCACAGTACTTGTGTAGATTAGATCCTTTTGAGCCTACTAGGACTTTGCAACCATTGACACTCCTTTTAACCTCCCGTTGTTGAGGTTGTGAAGGAAATTAGAACTGTAGCCTAACCTCAAGTTCATTCATCCTTGAGAAGCACGACTTTGACTCACAGGTCCCACTGTGTGAACAACATATTTTGAAGATTGTACAAATTACTATAACATGAACAATCACTCTTTCATCTTCAGATTTCATATAGAAAAGCAATTCTTCGTGACAGCAGGGACCTGATTGCTCGGACGCAAGTAAAACGATTCCTTCAGTGATTCCACCTGACAAATCAAAAGTACACTTTGCACACTAAGTGACACTCAGCTAAAAGAAAAAAAAAAAAAAAAAAAAGCAGCCATGAGCTCCAGACTATTCCCTGCACATAAATTACCTAGTCAGGCTACTGCTATTGCTCATATTAAGCTACATCGTGGGCTGAGGCAGATCCCTTTTCAAAGGAACTTTTACAAAAGGCAAAGCAACTAAGATTGACTTACATACTGTTATACAGACCCAACAAAGATGACATAGTTGTGGATAGCAGACACATGCTCTAACAAACTTCTCATAAAAAATTCTTTGTTATTTGCCAAATCATTACCACAACCACACAATGAGTGGGTCATTTCGCAAAGGAGTATCTCTGTTGCTGCTTTTTACCAAAGGGCTGAGGCAAAGAAAGCAAACTTTCAGCAACAGGTATGTATTAGGAGACTTGTTCTTCTGTTCTGGCGTGTACCAACAGGCATTTTAGCATTAATTTCTTGTTTAACATTCAGTGATAGGTCAATCTGATAATGCTCATGAAGGTGTGTACCTATGCTGTTAGGACACAGTAAGAGTACTGCAAGAACCAAAGATTTCAACAATAAGTGAACACAAGGATCAAAAATTGTACATACTGCTACCCTCTGTATGTATTCGAGTGTGAACTCTGTGGATTACAACAGGCAAATTTTTCACTTGTTTCTGAAATAGAACAACTCTGGTTCCAAAAGAGAACAACTTTGCGTATGCAAAGATAACCAGACTTAATCCTAGGACACTAATATAAGATTCCACAAAAAGCTTTGGAAAGGCAAAAATATAGGGGAGAAAGAGCTTTCTGCATGTAAAGGAGCTGTAGCAACTATTCTGCTACTTAACAGTACTTTCTGAAAGCAATATAGCTGACAAGGTAGGATTCTGAATAGCGGCTAAAGATCAGTACAGCATTTAGGTTTACCAGGACATTTAACAAGCAATGGCCAAACCAGTACTGTGATACAATATGGCCTTTTCAAAAGCACAAAAAGCATCAAGAGATTCCACTTAGAAGTACATTAAATTGCACAGAAAGGGACCAGGAATTTGATCCTCTTTAGAACCATTACTGGTTGTTTCGCAAAACACAGACCTTCATAGAAAGACTCATCACACCCTTGTTCAGAATTCTGTTCTCCATAAGGAAAAGATCTCTTTCACATGGACTGCTGCCCAGGGAAAGGGGCTTCTAAAGAGATGACATATTTAAAAGCATATAGTAAAAAAGATTTATCAGGAAGGGAGATGTAAGGCTGAAAACATTTCCTAATTTAGGACATGTGCTAGTTATCCACTGGAAGCAGAAATTTTGTAGGATTCTTGCGGAATGAAGCAAGTGCGGATTGATAGGCAGCTCATCAAGCAAGGTAACACACAGAACTGAACCTACCTTGTTCTTTCAAACAACAAAAACTCTATTCTGAAATACTCTAGTCCACCAAATGCAGAATCAGTTCTGACAATCATGAGAAAGAAACACAACCAGACTTATAATTCTGTAAGTAATGTGCTGCAGGTTGAGTCTAGGAAATAAAGACTTGGTTCATTGTCTTACACTGACCTGAGCCCAGTAGAGAATATGATCCACAGCACCAGCAGTAACAGCGCTTAGGAGCACTGCTCACGGGCTGCAGCACCAAAGCAACCAAGGCTGCTCGTACCACAGTGGCATCTCTCAACCTAGATGCCAACTACTCCTAGACCATAGCCCAGAAGGCGGCCCTATATAGCTTGGGACATTAGTTGACACATAAAATTGCAACTCTTGAGAATAAAAAAAAAACCAAAACATACTTGATAAGTGATAGTTAAACTATGAAAGTGATAGTTAAACTATGAATATGAAATAGTTAAACTGTGATTTTAGCTCCAGAATATTTCTTACGTGATTTTACCCTACTAGCAACTTTATAGTCACTTGTTACCTGTGACTGAAGTAAGTTCTCACACATGCCACAGGAGGAGAACACATTATTCAACCATGCGATATACCATATCCATATCTTATTACGGGGTGACATGTTTGCGTATGCTAGGCCCTGATATGCCTTTGGCATTTTAAGTAGTGCAAGCACAGCGTCAAGCAGTCAAGTAGTATAAGTATCAATTTTGAACCTTATTAAGTGCCTTCAAGCTCTTTTCAGGTTTGTTTTTTTCTTGCTTTTTTTTTATAATAATGATCTTACCGAAACTTGAACTGTCCTACAGATTCTGTTACTTGCTATCTGATTATATTTAGATCGTGTGCTTGTCCCAGGCTTGATTTTGACCCAGGCATCCTACTGACACAAACAACACGAGCAAGTTATGATACAGTCAGGTATTAATCTCTCAAAACTCAGTAGGAGACATGACTAAATAAAAAGCAACATCTATCAGCCACTGCTGTCTCTTGGCCAAGTAGCACTTGCTGGCATGAAAACGGGTTCACTTCCAACCAAGGTCAGAGGGCATCTGGCCAAGAGTTCTTCCCCTACACTACACTCCAGTAGCTAGAGGACTGGACTCGAGCCTCAAATTAGAAATTTTGCCGTTGGCTGCTGCAGCCCAGGAAGAGAGTGAAGCAGCAACACTGAAGTTAGGTTCCAGCTCTGTCTCAAAAAGGGACAAGAAGCAATCAGGAGCAACTTCTTAATCTACCTGTCAGTTCTCTACACAGTTTTGAAAGCTAGCTCTCCTCCGACCATGCAGGTCCACAATGGCATCAGGATCAGAACTAACAAAGCACAACAGCCTACACTGACCTGTATTTTGACATTTATTTAGTTGTCATTTAGCACACATACTACAATTAGGTTCAGAACAAGGGCAAGCCTACTCTCTGGATATAAGAGAACCTCATCTGTGTAAAGACAATAGGCAAGAACAATTTGCAAGTAGTATATAGGCTAAGCCCACATAAGCAAAAGCAGTTCAAGTTTCCAACCAAAATCATGGCATCACAAAGGAGGTACAAAGTAAAAAAGGGATTAATGACCTCATATGTACTCATTAAAGGAGAATAAAAAGTAGAACCATGTATCTCCCATAGATTCTAGAGAAACCATGTAGCTTCTGTAGTTGTACATAGTATGGCTAGAGAACTGTAAGTTTAGGGATTGTTATTACAATGCTATTGATATTACTGTATTTTAAACATACTATATTTTAAACGTACAAATCAGTACATAATTTTCAAGTTGAACTTTTTGAAGTGCTTCCAAAAATTACTGTTAAAAGTAATTTGAACTTACAGCACAGAATGGATGCCAAAAGCACACTTGGTAACATTTAGGTGATTTAATAAGAATCATCTTTTAAAAAGCTATAAGCAGAGCTGTTGCCGAGATAATAAGTTTTAAATTTTAAAGCAAGTTTTGCGCATTTATGTATGTACACATGTAAAGATGCACAGCTTCTTTTGGACTGAAGTATTACATGCTCAGATAAATAGGACAAGTCTGTGTATATAAACATGAAGACAAACAAACATTTACAGGGAGATTTCATACTCGTAGCAGAACATTTTAAAGGCCATTTATACTTCATTAATGCTAAGCTTTAAACAAGTTCACACTTGTGTAACATCTGCAAGATTTTTCTAGTAACATAAAATCCACATACAATTACACATAATTTGTGAACAAAATACAAAACTTGTTCCTGATGAAAAGGTATTTCTCTTCAATCATTCTCTTACAAAATCGCAATTATATATGATCAGCCTCTTCCTGTGCCTAGCTTACTCTTTCATACACTAAATACTGCTTTACCAAACAGTTCTCAGATACAAACAGAGTACTGCATGGAGCAGTAGTTTATTTTTTTACATGTATAGGCACAAACCATTTTCTGCAGTAAATTTAGTATTTGTTTTACACAGACCAAACCCACTGATTTTGTAGTCATATTCTACCTGAACACTGATTGGATCATATCCCACTTGCTATTTGAAAGAATAAGCAGAATACAAAAGCATGAACAGCATTAGCAAGACTGTAAAAATGAGAAGCGGGCTTTGACTTGTCTATATGGTTTACAAAGTAAGTCAAATTTGTGCTTCAGGCACATATCTGTGGCTGAGTAAATCTACAAATTATAATGCAGGGTGAGTAGCAAAAAGGTGAACATGTTTTTGATCATACAGAATGAAGGATGGGAGACAATGAGAACAGTAATGAATACACATGCTATATATACACTTTACAGACCCAGTAGTAATGCAAGAGGCTAGCAAGAAGGTTTTGGGTTGGTTTGGGTTTTTTTATTTACACATGTATGCAATTAGTAACAGCAATAAATAAAAGTTGTGGACTGAGGTGTAAAAAAGAGATGACCTATGACAGCTCTTTGTCATTAGATTCTTTACCCATGTATAACCTGATGATTCTGTGAAGAATTCTAAATATTTGCTATCATTGTCACTCAACATTTAAAGATTAAATTCATTAGAAATAAAGAATGGTAAAAGAATAACTCCTGGAATTTCCATATACTACACTAGACAGGTATGAATTAAAGCCGAAGTATTCAGACTACTGTTAGAGAAAATTAAGTTAGCAGGTGGCACATCAATACTGTAATCTACAATGAAAGAATTAGAATTATTTTTATGTTTAGTCAGGCAAATATTCTGCATTTCCCAAATGATAGGTATAGGTTTCAATTGTTTTCCTACTCTGATTTTGAGTAGATTATATTTAAATATGACATTACTTAAAATTTACCTGTCCCTTTGCTATCAGGTAAGCAACAATCGAAGTATGTCCAAACTGTGCAGCCAAATGAATACAGCTACATCCTTCTCCATCAATTAGCGACGGATCTGCCCCATATTTCATCAGCTGTACAACCATGGATAAGTGACCCTGCCTAAATGTAACAAAACACAAAAACCAAACTGAATAACTATATACAGAAAAAACATTAAAATGTGAATATTTGAATACAACAAATATGTTTAGCAGTTAATCACACTACCAGAGATTCCACTTTGACTCATACTTTGAAAACAACAATTGTCATGACCTGATTCTGCAACTGAGTAAGCAAACTCATTCATATGAGCAAATTCTGTGCAGCCAATGCACTCATCCCATGCAATTCGCTTAAGCATGTCGTATAGCAAAAAGCCAGTCAACAACAAAACCCAAGTTACTAGTTTAGAAATCTAGTCTACTATGACTTCTTCCAATCCACACATGAAACCTGCTATTTTAAGAGATGCCAGACTGGCTATATACTCTCACTTTTTGTGGGGCATATGGTTTATCTTTCTACTATTAAAAACAGCAGTGAAATAAAAATAGAAAAAAAAAAAAAGAAAACTGAAGGTCTACACTTCCTCTACTCTACATTAAAAGCTTAAGCATCTTTTTGGCATAATGAGCATAGGCAAATCCTTCTTGTAGACAGGGTGCCTAACTGTCAGTACACAGTTTCTGACATGAGCAAAAAGGCCTTCTCAATCTGTCAGAAGCAGCTTCAGACAATGCTTCACAGAACAACAGATTACAGCTATCAACACCAGGAAATTCAATCAAGCTTTTGTGCTATTAACACAGAACTTAGAGTGCGATCTGTAACAAAAAGAAATATACAAGCTACAAATCTTTAAGGGAGGCTAACAAGCAACTCCTCATCTTCAGTAAACAAATTATTTTGATACATTAAATGTTCTAAAAGCTGATTTTTTAAGTCTCCTTTTGCAGTCTACAGTTTAAAACATTAATATGGACAGTGTTCCATTCATGCCTATTTCTAGGCAGTTGTCTGAAGGAGCAGCTACTTCTCAAAGGCTCTCTTCAATTTTCCCAGCCATTCACCATTCTCGGAGCATCTTCCACAGCATAAATCTGATTTTAATTGCATCTTTAAAAAAATCCACACATGTAATAGAACACTGCAAGGACAATGTCACACAAAATCATCCCAAGCCCCATCTGCACAAATGTTGCTGAACTTCAGAAGACTGACAAAAATAAGATCTTCAAAGTAAGAGCAAACCCAGGTGACTATAGACTCTGATTTTACTTTACTCTTTTTCCTATCATAGCAATCATCTTCCTCTACATCAGAAAGAGGTAAGACAAACTGAACTATATGCTGAAAGCTCCTGTAGCTCAAACATACCACATTTACAGTGTGTCCAGTTACCAATGACTGAATTAATTCTTGTACAAAGTATTGCCATAAAATACAGCAATTTCATAAATCAGTCGGTACCAGATTCCAAGTTAAGCAAAAAAAAACCCACAGGAAAAGAAAATTCCAGAAGACTTTTCCCCACCTTGTTGCCCAGTGAAGTGGAGTAGAATTTAAATCTCCTCCAAGCTGATCAACGATAGCACCTTTTGATATATAGTATCTGGAATAACAGAAATAGTAAACATTATTGCTTGCCTTAGTTAAATATAAAGGACACACAGTAAGCATGTTTGATGTTATGCAAAACAGGCAGTTACAGACCAGAAGACCAGAACCTTTCCTTGCCTTCCTTTTTAGAGGTCATGCATATATACATTCAATTTTTTGCCTTTCTGGTGTGGGCTGGGAGAGTAGGGATGCTTCCTACTGTGTTTTAAACATGCCGCTATTTCCTAGTTTGGTTCTAAGGTAAAACAGAATAATTGCTATATATATTAGTACAAACTGTGCTACTTCAGAAGTATTTAATCAAATGGATTCTTCTGAAATATTTAGGGGTTGCTGCATTAAAAAGAATGCAGAATTAATGGTAAAATAATATGCTGCTAGAAGACCAGCATATTTAGAGAATTTTGGCTAAATGGCAAAATTATATACAATTCAACTTGCAGCATGTATTATCACTGGAATGGCCCTGCTGAAGTCACTGTTCCAAGAGCTCATGCTTAAGTTATGCATTTAACCAAGTACTAAGATTTTTACATACTTCTCTATTGTTACTAATCAAAGGACAAACACATCTGCGTATTTAAAAAAAAATTCTAAATGATGGGCTAGAAATTAGTTTTCCCTCAAGAACAGTTATAAAAAAACAAGCTACCTGTAGGAACAAAACAAGTTACCCTTATTTAATCGCAGCAATTCATATTCATAGTCATTTGTACCATTTCTGTGAACTGTTTTCCTTCCTGTTTTATATGGGATACTGAACTGGCAATATTACTTTTCCTTTGTGAAAGAAAATGCACACCTTACAAAGAAATTAATGTTTTTAAAAAAAAGGCCTTCCCAGAAGGCTTCTAGTTCTTCATTCACTCGTGTGCAAGCCAATAAAAAAAAAACTTATTACTGACAGACCTTTGAAAAGTACTATCTAGCTATAGATTCCTAAGTGCTTGCACGTTTCGAGTACCTGTGCCTGCAGACTTTTTGCTTTCAAAATACTTGTCAGGTATATATGAATGCTGCTCTCCCACCCACACAAACTGTCCTTCAAATCCTCAGCACCGAGTTTCTGGCACCTCAATTTCCTTTAAGTGTTTCATGACATGGCAAGAAGGGGGGCAACAAACAGAACAATTCGAAAAACATTACTGTAACTACCTACCTTCTATTTCTTTAGTGCTTACTGATTCAGAGTGAAACTTCAAAAACAGCCCAAAAGTTACCATTAGGAACAGAAACTGAAAAATGCATTAGCTGTACATGTCCACACTAAAAACATCTAAAGGAAAAGTCCTTTTATACAGTTGCTTTAGAGCCATCAGACACAATGAAGGATTTCAGCAGACTTTCCAAAGTCATACAAACTCTGGTTTGTATGACAAACAAGATCTGCTCTGATTGATGCGGGACAGTCCACTCCACTGGTCTCCAACACCAAAGGAGCAGAAATGCAACATCTCTGCCACAGTTAAGCTTTGGGATTTCTCAATGGAAAAACCAAAGAGATTTTGTGAAAGTCTTGGTCCCATGTAGGTGAAAAGACGAGGTGTATATAAGGTAAAGGGACGACAACAACAATTTTTTTATTGTGAAGCAAAGTATCAGCTACCAAAGAACAAATTTGAAAAAGACACTGAGAAGCTATTTAGTCCCCCTTGGGAAGGAGTTCCCAAGGAAATCTTGTCTAGATAAAAGACAGCACAGAGAAATTCACAGTCAAAGTTTGGATCCATCTCACTGATGTGACAGCCACTCATGGGGAGGTGAACATTAAACAGATTGTCTTCGTTCAAACACTGGTCCTCGCAGAAACACAATATATTCAGATTCTACTGAGCAGCAGCACTGCTTACTGGTTAGTACGTTTTATTTAGAAGGAAGAACTTGCAGTTTGACAACTCAGAAAAGACAAGGCGGCGATCTCCTGCCAGATGGTGCATTGAAATATAATGTTTTATGTTTCCTTAAGCGTGTTCTTAGGCTAAGTTGAGAACTATCACTGCATTTCAGTTTCAGTACACGTAAATGGCGAGATTTCTCTGCAAAACCAGACTGAGAACTTAATCTCCTTGCCTAGGTAGACCTTGCAGAAGGAATTTTGTGCATGTTGAGAACATCCCTGGAAAAGGGACAAACTGGGCGATTCTACTGTCAGTGAGTCATCTAAGCTTCCACGCTAGAAGGTGCCTGGTGTGCAAGTCCTATTTGAGTAATCTACTTACATGCAAAGCAAGCCGATCTGATAAGAGGTTGCCTTAGGAAGAAAATACTTCCACTCATCTCCACATTAGGATCACTAAGTCTTTGCCAGGCATTTGAAAACTGCCCCAGCTAGCATTCAGTGCTTGTGGGATCGAAGTGCACACAGTCACTATTGCTAGAAGGAGGAAAAGTAGAAGAGAAATCCTTGTCTGCAGAAAGTTCGACACAGGGAATGGGGAAATGCTGGCAGTAGGTAACTGTAGAGATATGGCAAATTCTTGCATTTTTACAAAATTGAGTTGGAGAGACCAATAGATCAGTGTCATGATGAAAAAAGAATTACATTGTGGATGTCTAACACTTATCCCTGATCCTACAGAAATAATAAACGGTTCCGTAGTTTTCCTTATAAAATATCAATGGGTTTCACTGTTATCTACACTGAATCTCAAGTCTCACAATAGACAGGATGAGGAAATACTAAAAATAAAAGAAGTCTAATTATAAGCCTGCACTCTTCACAGATGAGCTGCTAACCTACTTCATTGGGAAGACCTTATATAGTCAATACCCAGTAAGCATGACACTGAGATCTGGTATCATGAGAGCAGACCACTTACACTTAGACTCTGTGACATCAAGCTTACTAGCTAACATATTTAATGAAATTATCCATTGCACAGAATGGGCATGAACAGCAGAGACTTGGGGAAAGATATGCCCATCAAACAGAAAGAAAAAACACAGAACAATCTCATTCTAAGGAAAGAGAATAAACCAGTGTCTCACAAAAGAGAGAGTGAGAGAGCACACAATATACTGGGTGATATAAAGTAAAATAAATCAAGACCCCCTAAAGACAGAGGAACTTGAAGTGTAAGAACTGCATCAGGAGGAATGGATTTTAAATACAGTTAAACACATTAGTAGTCACATGCACTCTAGTAGACAGCAGGAAAAAAATGCAATGCAGTATGTCACAGTGGTAGAGATGCATCAAGAAGGGACAAGACCTTTGACATACTGTTGAGGAAAAAGGAAGAATTAGACAGATTTAAGAACATTCAATTGTCAGGGCTTACACTAAAATAACTTGAAAGAGATATGGCTGATACAATTGAAGTTATGTTGATTTAAAATTCTCAGAACAAGTTTCCAGCACTCAAATATAGGTGGAGAGATCTCCCTAATACATAATAAAGAACTAACTGGAAATTCAGATAGAGACTTAAGCACAGACTTCCATCTATCTGAATCTGACATTTTGATTTTGAACCACCTCTATGTCCAATATAATTGCTATAGCAGGAAATTGTTAGCAACATACTTGGAGGATGAAAAAAAAGGGTAAAATACACCACAAAATACTCACATGTTAAAGTACTTCTTTCACAAATTTAGCTTCAAAAGAGAACTCATGGGGAATTTAAAATTTAGTCCAGTTTTACTCTGTGAATGGCAGAAGGTCCCCAAACAGATATTCTGGGGCAGTGATTTTTTTGTTTGTTTTGGTTTTGTTGTTTTAGGTTTTTTTTAAGAAAAAGCTGTAGAATATATAAAATGCTAGTGAACTAAAGCATTAAGTCATAATCAAGTATCACAGAGGTAGATTCACTGCACTGAGAAGCTAATACAGGAACTACACATAAGTTAATAAAGAAACATCCACAATATAGGCCTATGTTTTCAAATGCCTCATGACATACTGATGTTTTTAAATGCCACTCACTTTTCAGACCTTATAAAGACATACCAAATGAGATGGAATATCTGAAATCCAAATATGTCTTCCAACAGCTCAAAAGATGAACAATTCATTGCACATAATTCATTATGCACTCAAGATGGATAAAAAGTGAGCTCAAAATACAACAACTGCTTTTAGATGCTGTACTTTTCTTAAAGAAAAACAGCTATCTGAAAAATTTTATGCATTTCAGCTGTTTCACAGCAAGCTGTAAGATGCTAGCCATAAAGACTCAGCACCACCCAGAGGGAAAATGGAATGAAAAGGAAGAAAACAACAGAGACTAAAATGTACTCTCACAAAAAACATTATTTAGGTAAACCAGGGTCCTGCATCACTTTTGCAAGAGGCTCTCAGTGTGCCGGAAAGCACATTGGTTACCTATCTTATAATGAAAGGAAGATACCAAATGCACAATTATGATTTCCTTGAGAAACTTCTACCCACAACAAAGACATAAAACCTGTTGTACTATCTACTGCATATAATAAAAATTTCTTTCAGAAACACTGAATTACTTCACAGAATTGTTTAGTTTGGAAGGGACTTTCAGAGATATATCTAGTCTAACCATCCCCGATCAAAGCATCTAGATCATGTTGCCTAGGATCATGTACAGTGGGGTTTTGAGTATCTTCATGGGTGGAGAGTTCACAACCTTTCCGAGCAACCTGTGCCAGTGCTCAGTCACCCACACAGTAAAACAAGTGTTTCCTGATGTTCAGATGGAATTTCATGTGTGTTTTAATTTGTGCCCTCTGCACTACTGAGAAAAGTCTGGCTCTGTCTCCTTTACTCAATCCCATCAGGTATTTACATACATTGATAAGATTCCAGGTATTATCTATTACAAGGTATCTCAGGTACTTAGATACATTGATAAGATCCTCAAGGAGAATCTTATATACATTGACAAGATAAGCCTTCTCTTCTGTAGGCTATGAAGTCCAAGCTCTCCCCTCCTCATGTCAGATGTTTCAGTCCCTTAATCATCTTTGCGACACTGTACTGGACTCTCCCCAGTAAGTTCATATCTTTCTTGCAAAGGGGAACCCACAACTTCACACAGATGTCCAGCTGCAACAGTTGAGTAGAGAGGAAGGATCACCTCCATTAATATGCTGGCAATACTTTTCTTAATGAGGCCCAGTATACCATTGACTTTTTTTGCCGCAAGCCTGCATTGCTGCTTCACAGTCAGCTTCCTGTCCACCAGGACCCCAAAGTCCTTCTCATCAGATCTAAATCTTTATCTATATACCTATCTTTATCTATTTTACCTTCTTTTAAGAGAACTGCATCAGAACTCAAAGACCTTTAAATACAGGATGAGAAACATGAACCTGAGATCTTCTAGAAACTCAAAATCTGGTCCAAGGAAGGTGCTGGTGATGGACATACATGGGGAGAATGTGCTTAAAGATGTTTTGCATTTGTTTTTGTGTGTAAGTACACACATTAGAAAGAATGGTTTTGAAAAGTGGACTGATTGAAGACGTGCAGTTTATGTCAAATGTTCTAGAAACCTGCTGATTCAATAATATTTTGTGTATTTAGATTTGATTGCATGTACTTAATTCATTGTTTTGTTACTGGTAGAGAAAAAAAAACATGTTCTATACACACTCGTGTTTGAGAACAGCAAGTACTAAGAATTATCCCTTCAGGATTTAAGCTATCCATGTGCTGAAAGATTATAATAGGTTTTAAAACCTAGTCCCAAGTATTATGCTCCAGATTTTATAAACTGAAAAGCAAAAAACCCCACAGGTCCCACTATTAAAGATTTTTTATTACTTGCAAGGAGAGGTGCTGCAGTGTTACCTTTTGTAACAGCTGTGTTTTTAAAATACAAAGAAGTTATTTAAGTTAGAACTCCTTGAAATGCTGAATGAAGTAGGAATTGCCCCTTGCATCATATTAATCTTGCTTATTCAAAAACATTCACCACCAGCTAGCATCAAACTTGCCCCTCTCAAAAAAGAAACTTGGTATTTCAACAAGTATACCATGGTATAAAGAAATAGCATGCACAGCTGAATGGCTGTTCCGCGGGTTTCTCTCATCTGAGGAGAGTCTGAGCTTGACTTCTGGACATATAGCGGGTTTTATTTCTGTTAATTGTCACCAAAACATTGCTGCCAAAATGCAAATTAGGTCTTCTAACTTTTCCCCCCTCTCCCAAATTTCAAGACCAAAAATTGAGATTTTTAAGAGACTTAAGATTATTTAACACCTTAAAAAAAAAAGAAATCAACATTTTTAAGGACACGATTAGTTTATGTTTAACAAAGTGTATGTAATACATACTTCACCAGATCTATCCTGTTGTTGATTGCAGCCCAGTGGAGAAGCGTTACGTTTTCTTTGTCTGGTTGTCGCACATCATAACCTGCTTCCACCAACTCTCTACATCGTTCGTATATTCCATACCTTGAAGAAGAAAACAAGATTTTTTCAAAGCTGTTACCTTAGATAAAAATGCATTTGGCAAACACCAGACTTGCAGTCACAATACAAAAGTTTAAACAGAAGAGAAATTAAGAAGAAACTTTTACTTTCTGTTTCTGTATGATTACAGATCTCTTGCAACAAGTTTCCACTGGCAGAAGTCATATTAATCAATTCAAGATTTCACAGAAAACTTGTCTCCGCAGCAAACCATAGAGCAGAGCAAGGCAAAATATCAATCAGTAGTATACCAAGTATAAATAAATCTCTTCCCAGGAACTCCACTACATTTGTTTCTCGCACCTCTGTTCTCCTTCCTTTCTATCTCTTGACAACCAAAAGAGCTTAGCCAACTGATTTGACAGTATCTTCAATATGAAATTAATTCTTTCATTAAAGATGACTCTTAAATGGGAGCTATCTTCATTTGAAAAAAAAAAAATCTACATATATTTTGAAAGTTGAAACAAATCAGGAAGCATAAACATCACTTAGGCATCTAATGTAGGACTATCTCCACCATTAAATAATGTTTGTCTTGATGCTTACACTGGTTTACCACCTATTTTTAGTGGCAATAAAAGCAATGCAGAAAGGCAAGTAAAGATTACATCTCAATATCTGTACCACCCATAGGGATTTCTCAAGTCTCAAGAGGAGATTGATATGCAGGCACAACTTGAAATCAAGATCAATGCCTTGTGACATCCAACTTCTGCTAGAGCAGAATTTTAACAGTCTCTCAAAGTTGGACTCTAAGTAAGTTTTCCTTATGCTGCTTCTATGTTCTACTTTCTGCAGAAGAGACAGCCTTAGACAACTTAAGGCACTTTTGCTCCACTTGATCAGCTTACGTAACTGATGCAGAGACCTTTTTTCTGGGGTAGTTACCATTCTTACTTTTTCTTTCATATATTTCAATGGATCCTCAATCTGGACAGCACTCCCATAGTGAAGCCTCAAATGATTCAAGTCAACAAACCTCAGGAATTCTCTCCCAGCCTACTACAGGTTTGAAGCACATAAATTAGTTGGACACTATTAAAAAAGAAGTACTAGACACAAAAGCCTACTTACATTATGTTGTTGTCAATTTCCTGGGAAAGTTGCGCTAGAAATTATGAAAAATGCTAGAAATTGCTGTCATACCTATAATCTTCACAAAAGATCAGAACAAAGACTATTGCATGCAATACATACCAATTTGCAACAAGCCTGTAGAATATGGTCCCTCAGACTGAGTAAAAAAGCAGCAGTCATGAACAATCTTGATGACAAAGCTTTGTTTTTAATCAGCTGGGGGCAGCAGGGGAGAAAAGCAGTTTGGTTTATGAAGACTTAAAAATATGCAACCAGCTAGACAAGAGAGACATACTCAGACACACATAACTGCCAGAAAAACTGATAAGGTTCTGAGTCTGGCCAATCTTGAGGCACACTATCTCCAAGTCCCAGTCTAGATCAGCAGTGTGGCCTGATGAGTGCTCGCTCAAATGGCTAAACACATACCATTCCTGACTTTCCACCGCCCCAGCTGAAAGGGCCACTGAAACAGGTTACAACTACTAAAGGCAGGTCAGCCAAGAACAAGGTGTGAGAAGAGACAGTAGAAGAGATGGGGGAAATAAAGACTTCTGAAAGCAAGACAGCAAATTCTAATCTTACTGCAGTACAATATCACACTAGCATATTACAACATCTGGAGGTAACCTGGAAAGTGATTCATATAGAATAGCAAAACACCCTTTTGTTGACAAGCTGTTCTACTCCAGTCAGCTGTTATGACAACCCTTCCTACCGTAAACAAACCTGCTGCCTTCATTTAAACAACTAACTGAAGCCATAATGTAAGAAATTCCCCTAAAGCCCCGCTATTAGGTATAACTATCACCAGCTAAAAGAATTGTGCTGCCTATGGCTGAGTTTAGCTGACTCTCATCCTGCTTAAATAAGCAGTACTACACAACAAGCAGGAATTATATTAATAAAATATTCTAAATTGTTAGAATGATACAAAGAACACAAGAACGCTAACTTCTATGAAGTGTAAGAGGCAATCATGTAAACCTTTCATGCAATGGATTAGGATTTTCCTTACATGTACCGGTTTTGGCTGGGATCAAGTTAATTTTCTCCATAGTAGCTCCTATGAGGCTACGTTTTGGATTTGTGAGCAAAACACTTTTGATAACACACCAATATTTTAGCTATTGCTGAGCAGTGCTTACACAGCACCAAGGCCTTTTCTGTTTCTCACGCTGCCCCACCAGCAAGTAGGCTGGGAGTGGGGAAGAAGCTGAGAGTGGACTCAACTGGGACAGCTGACCCCAACTGATCAAAAGAGATATCCCATTTCACATAACACTGTGCTCAGCAATAAAAGCTGGGGGATGGAGGAGGAAATTTGGCATTATGGCATTTGTCTTTCTAAGTCACCATTGCACATGATGGTGCCTTGCTGCCCTGGAGATGGCTGAACACCTGCCTGCTGATGGGAAGCAGTGAATGAATGCCTCGTTTTGCTTTGCTTGTGTGTGCGGCAGCTTTTGCTTTCCCTATTAAACTGTCTTTATCTCAACCCATGAGTTCTCACTTTTACCCTTCTGATTCATTTCCCCATCACACTGGAAGGGAACAAGTGAGCAGCTGCATGGGGCTCAGCTGCCTACCAGGGTTAAACCACAACATTACTGTTGGTCACCTATGGTAAAGTGTACAAGTGATTTAGATGAGTGTCCTATCAAGTTAAATACACAATACAGAATGAACCTCCTTGAAAGTAAACTCTGATACCTAGCCAAGTTTTTGTTAGATCATGCTACCAAGATAGGTATAACCAAGCAGCATTGTCACAGTCTTTGGGGGGGGGTGGTGGCAGGGGGGTGTTTGTTCTTTGAGATTTTGGTGGGGTTTTTTTATTTTATTTAAAGCAAATCTCTAGTCTTACACAAAATGTGACACTGCTTTCTGAAGAACTTTGCTCAAGAGATATGAAAATGAAGGAGAGCTGTGGCAAGCATGTGGATCAATTCTGCAGCCTGTTGAGGCAGAATGCTGTCGCCAATACCCCTGCAGAAGCCCTGACAGGATGCTCTAATTACACTCCACTGATGTCTACAAATACCACCCTCTAGAATCCGCCCATACACTACTGTGAGGCCCTGGGCAAAGACTACCGTATGGGTTCAGATAAACAAGGAGTAAGTAGTAGGAATGGATTCCTCCTCCAGGCTTTGCATCATAGACTTCCCCTCCTCCCCACTGGAGGGCAAACTGCAAGTCACAGGTACTTCCTACCACTTCACCACAAAACAAATCATGAAATTCTGCAATACATCAGAAGAGCCTTCCCAGGAAAACAAAACATATTCCAAAAACTACACTGAGAATGAGGTATATAGCAATTTATTTAAGTCACCATCAATTTGTCTGTTCCTAGCAACTTATTTTGGTATCTTAAACTCAGTCATAACTGATTATAAAAGATGTAACACACAAGGTATAATTTAATAACGCTTCAATTTATTAAATTGTCACAAGAGGACCTAAGGATCTAGACAGACAAAATCTGCCTGGCAAAAAAGGTTACAAATTTACAACAATTTGCTCCTCTTCCTGGAAAACAGCAGGCTCTCTACTATTAAATAAAACACCGAATCTGATGCAGTCATGGTTTCTTGAGCTCTGTCCTAGAAATGCAGCATTCTTCTCTCACATACTACCTACAGTCTTCTTCCATCAATTTGCTGCAGCTGACTTCACCTTGCCTTCTCCAAAGGTCCATGACACAGCTCGATTACAAGATGAGGAAGTCACCTATTTCAGACACTCAGCATAAATGTACTTATATTGTTATAAAGGGCTCTATGCCCTTCAGGAAAGAGGAATGGAGGAAAAGATTCAAATCCTCAGAAGAGACTGATGTATTAACCTAACAAATTTTCAGCATCTGGGTCAATTCTAGAGGGTGATGCTGTAAACATCAATATGGAATACAATTAAAGCATACTATTGAGCTTGCCTTGTTCTGAAAGAAATGGGACTGGTTATTCCAGGGCAAAAAGACCATTGTGCAAGCTCATTTCACTATCACAGTCTCTAAGGCATTTTGGTAACTAACACGTAACATTTTATTTGTCATTGCAGCTTAAAGATATTCTGAATTTAATACTTTTGAAAAGAGTATCCTAGAAGCCTTTTGCATTTTAAATATGTAGTCCATTTTTTAATCTTTTGTCTGCAAGCACATTGACTCTTGGAAATAGACACTGACAGCTTTGCTGCATGATTAACACAAAATTTGGCCACAATACTAGTAAGGAATCTCTCTTCAGTGAACACATCGCCATGCCAACAAACAGTAGGTAAGCCAGGAGCTCATTCCCTCATCTTGCTATCATTGTAACTCCAACCAAAGCTGTTTTAACTTGAAATGCAATTAGTAGAAAAACAATCTTTTTTATCTTTTGAAGACTCATTTCCATGAATGATGGTGGTTAAATAGCAACAAAGCCTTTCATACATACGTTCTCATGGTTTTTGTGTTAAACAGCTAGTTTTGTTTTCAAGAGCAAAGGGATAACTCAAGAGCTGCTTAATGAATCGTTAACAGTGATGTTGAGAGACAAGAGAAATTCAGCTCTTGCATATGTTCCAAAGCCTCAAATTGTCTAGACAGTTGTGGCTATATTGCTAGTGTGGTTAAAAAAAATCCCACCCTTCCATGTGAATTTCAGATACATTTCACTTTCAGCAATATAATCAAACTCCATGGGCACAAACAACCAGGCATAAAGAACGTGTACCTGTGTCACCGTCTGCCCATCCTCTCCTGCAAATAAGTCAGAAGTAATTGTCACTTTGGCCAACCCTCACCAATTTGAATTATTCCATATGTATCCTATTTTTTTCTTATCAGTCACCTTATGAAAGATGAGAAATAGTGAGGAAAAAAGCATATTCTCAAATGTATCCAACAATTTTTTTCCTCAGCAAGACTCAGCATATTTCATATTTCGTGCTTCACTATTTCACAACACACGACTTCATTTTGAATTATCTCAGTGAATAAAACTAACAGAAAAGTTAATCTTGCGATAATGAAATTGTAACATTTGAGCACAAGGAGTCAATCTTCCAGATGTCACAAAAGCACTTGTTAATATCATTAATGCTTAATACCCATCTTCATAATGGTTATTTAAGATACTTTCAGCATAGCTGGAATTTGCTCAAGTTCACTACAAGCAGAAGGTGCGTATTCACTCTCCGCAGAACTGAAAAACATGACACAAGGATTAATGTCTCAGCTTTTGTCCTCCTAGCCATAACCCATCATATGCTTCTCTACCTGTGAACAGTAGCTGCTTTTCCTTAGTTTCATGGCTTAAAAGATTTAAAACAAAGCCAGCAACTTGAAGTTATTATGTTAACACAGTACCCTTCTGTCGTGGTTTAACCCCAGCCAGCAACTAAGCACCACGCAGCCGCTCACTCACCAAGACATCATATTCAAAGTTATAACTCCAGCCTTGGATGCACAGGGCTACTGGTGCCAGAAGAGATAGAAATAAACACACCCAACATATCTCCATTAAATTTCACTTTTAAATCACAACTTTTTTTCCAAGACTCCATTCCTTTGCAGCTCCAGTGAGAGCACTGAATGATATCACATAGGAACAAAGACAGTTCACAGCCCACCCTCTGATTCTATAGAGGCAGAAGAAATTCAAAGACTTTCTATGCAGTTACAAGTGAAGTACTTCTATAGTATGCAACGTTCTGCCCTTGCAATAGCAAAGGCAAGAACAGATGATTTTTTTACTACGGCTTTGACAACAGATTTTCCAATATATGAGTGGCCTGCTTCTTCTTTCAGAAACATAGTGGAAACCTTTCATGAACCAAACAATTTTGCTATAACTGAATACAAGATACCAAGAGATTACACACATATTTTAACACCTGTAAGATGAAGGGCTAAGACGCTACGACTTTTAACACTACCTAGATGCCCTTGGATATGTTTATAACAAAGCCAGTGAAAAGTGTCCTTTATAACAATAGATATTAAACCCAAACACTATCATTTTCAGTCCAGCACAAGTTTCTGCAAAATAAACACAGAGAGAGACTATTTTTGGTATAAAGCATGCCTAGGCCCCATGTCTGTGGGAGAATTTATCAGGAACATAACGGGGAAAAAATACAAATACTGATAAACTCTTTGCAATGAGAACATCAGCTGAACTGCTCTTTTCTATACAGAGTCTTAACTTGATTGCAAGAGGTTATTAGATTTGTAGCTCACAGTGTATGAACATCTTAATTTAATAAGTGTTCAATCTACAGACTAAGATGATAAAGCACACAAACAGTTCAACAAGATATGAAACAACGAACAAATACTTCTGGAAAAATGTGTGGAGCTTGCAAGCTCTTATTTTCCCTTGCTGAAAAACATAAAAGCAAATGCATTATTTTACTGACATTGTTTTATTTCTCTGTAATCAAGTGCCAATAAACTCAACATCTTAAAATAGAATTCTACAGTCAAACAGCATATATGAAATATAGATGAGTTTGAAACCTCTTCATCCCATTTTTCATCATCATCTTCAAAGTTTAAGGAATTATGTTCCCCATTTTCATGTATGTTGCAACAATAATATAACTAGTTACTTTCACAGGAGAAACTTTTAATAATGCAGCACATCAAATACTGTAAGAATAACAATCATTATGAAAAAAATTAAATGACTGACTAGCTACTTATATGATGTGACTAACCGATTCCTGCTTGCATTATCGCAAATTTAATAGCAAACAGTTCTATGCTATCGCAAAATGCACCTTCTACTTGTCAAGAAGCCTGCAATTTAAGTAGTCTTTCATGAAATGCCAAACCATTTTGGATGACAGATCAGTTTGACTTTTTTTTTTTTAAACAGAGGAAGATACAGAACTTTATTATTATGATTAGCTATCAGACCTTTCTCAAGACCAACAGAATTTCATTTAACTAATGGTAAGCACCCAGCTACCATTTGACTGTATCACACTAAAAAAACTGTTATATTCTCTTGGGGAAGTTTTGAAGTGTTCTGAAAAAAACCTGTGCTGCCAATGACATGCTGAATGCTACGTGTCTGGTCTTGGAAAAAAACACCCAAACTAAGAGACTGAAAATAATTCTTATTCTATTTTGTAATGTTTTGCTTCAACTTACTGAGCTGCTTGGGGAGGGGAATGCTAGGAGACAGAGGGGCCCTTTTTTACAGAACTTTTTGTGGCATCTTACATTAGCACTGAACTAAAAAGTAACCAAAGTCAGCAGATATTTTAATCTAAGTGAATACTGATTTTTGAAGACAAGCAGTAGAGGATAAAATCACCTATTTTTCTTATATATAAAAGGCTATGTTTCTACAAAAGTGAATAACTACATCAGTTTAATAGGAACTGTATATCTTTTTATCAACACCAAATTAATATATTAGCAGCATTATTTATTTTATTGCAAGCCTTATGATATTGGGTGGTTTATTTTCTGCCTTAAAGGGAAAAATCTCTGAAAATTAAGACAGCTGTTTTATATAACATGGCCTTCAAATCCTAGTAAATACTTAAAATAAAGGTGAGTTCTCCCTCTAGTCAGGGAGGTGCTACTTGGATACCACAACTTGATCATATACCCACGCTGAAAGTCCCCCCTCCCTGTGATATTAACCATTAGGGCTACGATATGAAACTGCAGTCCTCTCTGGTGAGATGCCATCCTCTCTGTAAGTCACATCTCACCATGACTGGGAAGGAACACAACAGATAAGAATCGACAAGGCCGTGAGTTATTTGAGGAGACCAGAAGGGAATTATAACAACTCAGTTGAAAGCATAGATCAGCCTAAATTTGAGGGCTAACAGGAACAAATGTGTTTTAGGGTTTCAAACATGCAATAAGCGTCTAAGAATGGAAGCAGATAACTTGTAAAACCACTTCTGTCATATTTCCGTGCTTTTAAGCAGCAGCTAGTTTGATGCTATGCCAATATTTTCATTTCTAAAAATGCCCTAATATGAGGATTATAGGTTTTAGTATTACTATTAAAGTATTTAGGGCAACAATTGCAGAGTCAGTCAACATCTATTTCAGGAAGTTAAACTCCTTAGAACCTAAAACAAGAAGTGAAGGGAAGTACATACTTCCTAAACCTAAATGGGGCCTGTGTCACATGCAGAGCCACAAAGCTGCTTTCAGCTGGAGGAGATGCCTTTTAGGAAAAAATGGCAATAGCTCAGCAAGATACATAATAGCTTAAGCATTCAAATTAACAGTACAAGAAAAAAAAAAATCTTACAAAACTATCATCTCAGCTCACTGAAGAAAAGTGGCAGTGGTCGTGGTTTCTGAATGGTAAAAAATAGCAAGCTAAAAAGTAGTGTCATGACAATTCTTCAGAAAGTCTTGTGAGTTAGTATGTGCTATAGGACTGTGTGGAAGACAAATTTATGTAATTCATCTGCATTAAGAATGCAATTATTAAATTTGCACAGTTTGCTCCTACAGTCCTTTCTCAGCAATAAACTCCATTTCATAGCAGCACTGAAACTGCAGAATCAGGGACAATAAAGGAAGTTACACAGAGACACATTGCTTCTAACCTATAAGTTATGTCAACAAATCAAGGAAACCCTCATGTTTGCGTATCAGTGTTGCCCACTTACCTCTTAATCATCACCTACAGAAAATAAACATCAGTACCAGCTGGAAGAAAACTGTACCTTCTCTTCCAACAATCTGTCCAGCAACCACCTATATTTACAACTTAGCATAATTCCTCCCACATATTTTCATACAATGGTCAAAAATTTGTCTTAACAGTAATTTTTTAGAGTTCACCTCTGAAATCTTCCACTGCTGTATCTACAGATACAGTTCACCTTCCTCTTTATGCAAATAAAAAAAAAATCAATTTTACTGGTTTTTAACTAATACAGACACAGACAAATCTAACACTCAAAAATAAACTTACTGTGTGGCTTTCACAATGTCCCAAGTGCTGTAATCATCAATGTGGCTTTTCCGTCCAAGAGATTCACTGTATCCATGGTTGTAATGGCTTTGAGGCTTTATTTCCTAAAAAAGACAAACTTGCTATTAGAACACCAGAATCAGCATTACTAAAGTTTCTCAGAAAAAAAAAATTCTATAAGCAAAACTAAAAACAGTACCCAGTTCAATATACTATAAAGCTACCTAAATCTGAGGGTGGTAAGCTGACTGGCCCCATTTCTACATTTTGCAAAGCAGACCACTGTATTCCCTGGTATAGATTCCAAACACCTTCCAAAAAAACACCACTTATAACAACAGAGTTCTGCCAAATCCTACACTGGGGTATTTTTATAGAATATTAACAAAAAGTAATGGCTTTTGTTTTGTTTTTATAAATGCAACATGGCATAGCTAAAAAAAGCTATCGGCCATAAACTGACAAAGTCTCACTCTGCTACTACAAATAAATGTTATACTTCAAATAGCATAGTCAAATACCTTCTAGAAAAAAAATAATTGGGAATGATTAATACCAATTATTAGAACCTACTGACACTTTATTGATTCTTCAACTCCAGTCCCATCTTCAGAGGTGATCTATGTATGTTTAACCAATGGGTCTCAGAAACAAATGGCATGACCATGATATGCTCTTCACCAGATACAGCTCCCTACAAAACTTAATTCTTTTGATGAAGGGCAACACTTCAACCCTTAATGCTTTTCTTGGTGGAATTTATATTAAAACACTGTATTGACAGATCACTAGCTCAGCAACACACCATTTTTCTTTTCAAACTGCATGCATGTGAAAGTCAGCTCAGCAAGCTGAAATTGAACCATGTATTTAATACAACTTCCAGACAATTTTCCATTTGTTACAAGTACTGTAGCTGATTGCCTCTGTGTATCAGCCATGCAATTCAGCACAGCCGCATAAAAAAGTGAGAACTGCAACAGTGAAACACAGAAAGAAGCTCTCTGACAATACTAAAAACGCATTTCAATTGATTTTATTAAAATGTGGTTTTCACTTTTACTCAGTTTTCCCCAACAAAGTTTCATGAGCAGAAATTTTGTTTCTTTAATCCGTACCTGGAAACACTTTTAAACACCTTATGAAAGGTGTTTAATTAAGATTCTAACTTCCACTCAGTTATTAAAATGAGTGATCAACCTTGTCGTTAATATACTAGAGATTTTTATTTTTTTGAATAAAGACATCCTGAGTCAAGACAACCATGATAATACACCTAACCTTAACAAGGATAACACCTAACCCCACCACCTTCTCTCCCAAAAGGCACATGTTGCCCTGCTAGCTCAAGTGACTAAGAAACATGCTAGGGCCAGGGAGACTTCCTATTGCCGAGATGAGCAGGTCTCCCCATTTCTCATGTTCTCTCAGCTGTGCAATAATTTCTGCAAAAGGAGCTGTTGGTCACAATGAGAAGTAACTTCTTACTGTGTCCAGCTGTGGCTAGTCAGCCAAAGTGTTTTCTAGCTTCCTGCAACAACATTAACAAGCTCTCTGTTGACTGCAATGGGAGTTTAAATACTGAGCTTGCAGGCAGATAAGTAAACTGCCCTTTGACTCTCTTAATCTGGGGCTTACTCATCTCAGCTGTATAAACACAATGCCTTCCCCAATAACTGGACGCTAGTAATCAAAACAGTCATTACAAATTTTTCTCATTAAAGTTATTTTAAATGTGTTTCTACCCTAAAATTATTGCATGCATTTTTATCTCTCTAAAAGAGGTAAAGACAACTTAAGTCTGAAAACCACATTTTAAATATCTATTTCCAGATTTCAACATATTGAAGTGCCACTTAAGCAGAAGTCTAAAAGCTTATACCAGTTATAACCTCGGAGTAAACTATCAAGAAGGTAGTCCAGTTGCAAATCCCAAAACTCTCAGTGTTAATTTCAAAACCAAGTAACTTCAGTTGAGCATGTTTGTATTTGTTACATACAATGTACTTATTTCAGACAGGAAAAAAAAATCAAATTAGGAGAAATTCTATTGCATTAAGTACATGTTGTAGTACTAAATTAATATAGTCATTTATATAGTTAGAACATTTATGATATTTTGTACATTAAAAAAAAAAAATCTTCTTAGAAGTCAGGTGTTTATAGCTTTAAAACCAGAACATAGTAGCACTGAGAACTAGTGCAGCAAAAGTCGTCATTTTCAAAATAGATTTGCTCTTGTGCATAGACTGTTCTTCAGAAAAAGAAATTTTTTAATTTCACACAGTACCCAAATGATCAGCAGAGTACATCTTTTCTTGACCACAACGTTATTTTGTGGCATTCAATTTTTCTTTCTAAGCCTGAAAAACTAACTAGATTAACCAATTAAGCATTGCCAGCCCAGCAGGAAAATTGCTCTCTTGCCACCTCTACAGGAGGGACAACCTAAAAGCGTAACAGGGCATCTGCTGTCATCCAAATCGCATGTTACAACCAATTCTCTTACTATCCAGAAACACAGCTTCACTTTGTACTTGAAGGTGGCAACAGCTTAACCAAACCTTTTCTCTCCCCAGCTACTAGATAAGCCAGACTGTTACCTGGAATAAAGATGCTGAAAAAGATACCACAGAACATTACAATTTCAAGTAAAGTAAAAATACAAGAGAAAGCTAAATTCATTATTTTGTCCCACATGATTTTCTCTTTTCCATCATATTAGAAAAAAAGCAGGATTTATACCATCTCTGTTCACCTATTATTACACCACACAATTGCAGCAGGATTTTACATATCAAATCGTAATGTTCAGACCCTGAAAAGCTAAAGGATAAGTCAAGTAGGCAGAGGCCAGAACAAAAGAAATTCACTGTCCTGGAGCAGCTTGATGGAGTGCCTTCCACAGCTGCTAGAAGGAAAAAAAGTTTCTCCTCTTCTTATCTAACAATTAGTAAAAACAAACTGAGAAACCTGGGTTATTTTTCAGGCAGATGCTACTTTACCAGGGAATACTATTTCTCTTAAGCTGCATTTTCCCAACCACTTCAAGCACACAAACCAGGCTTCTGTTCCCTTGAGCTCACACTGGCCAGTCAAGAGAGCTGCCCATTTACAAGCAGTGTAAATTTATGTCAGCCTAAAGTGACCATGAAACCTCAGCCTCATGACACTAATGCTTTCATAAAAAGGTTTATGGGAATACAGCAAAATCTTAGGCGTTAACTATTAACCATGTAAATTCAAAAAAGTGAGAGATTATATTCCTTAGCCCCTCTTACAGCTTATCTACTACTTTAACTAAGGACTTGAAGGTAATAACAGGACCCTTAACTTTTAAAAAATATATAATTTTTAATCTCCTTCTGTACTGATAGTGTCTCTGAACTACTCTTTTTATGATGACACTTCCAAATTTTGTTATATTAATGCAAAAATAGCCAAAGCGATTAAGAAGTTAGATTTGAGGTGATGGCAAGTATGACTGCCTGACACAAAATGAGTTAACGAGAAACAGTTCTCTCTCTCTTTTCCCCCAGTACCTACATTAGCAGTTACAATCCATTTGTTTAATATAAAGACTCACAACAAATATAAACTTAAAGTGAACCCTATGTTTCCCAATTTACTAAGAGAGCTGAGTTTATATTTTACATTTAAGAACAGTTGAAACAAGCCCTAAAATCCTGAAAGGTATATGAACATCACAGCCTCCATCATCATACAACAGAGTCTTCTAACCACGGTGTGAACTGTGGGAAAAGGATGACTTTGTATTTGCCTGAAAACAAGATACAAATACCACCCATTTTGGAAGTAAATCATTTCAGATAAATGCCAGGAAAGCACATCAAATCTGAATCCTCACCCAATACAGTCAGTTCTCTGCAGCCTAGACGCAGATTCCCAAGCTTAGAGTCAAAATTTATCACTTAGCATTATCTATGCAACTTGACAGTTGCCTGTTGGCTCATAGTAGCATGCTGGCTACTATCAGTGCCATAACTCTTACCTGGCATTCTAAGTGCCTGGTTTATGACTGATCTGCAAAGTAACTTTTGGGTTCCTAAGTCAACAAGCTGCCAGGAATCAAGATAAAAGAGAACCTGGATTTTGTGAGTCACAGTAATGCTTGTTTCAGCTGGTCATAGGCGATTTGGACCAAGTCACTGCAAACAATGCTGTTACACACTATGCTTGGCTGACAAGGCAAAATTTAAGAGAGGCAACGCAGCAGCTAGGAACAGAAAAGAGCCTCTTCATTCCTAAAGAATTTTTTTCAGGGTTCTGAAAATCCTGTGCGGGGCTAGGGCACAGCCCTATAAATGCAGAAAAGTAATTTCTCCTAGCTATGCTAGAAAGAATGATTTAGAAAGAAATAATGAAAGACTAACATTAAGAGAATCTATATATGTATGGGTCTACACCATTCTAGCTGGGCAACTTACCAGTAAACAGGAAATCAGCTGATAGCCTGAAGTAAGAGACCATTGTAAGACCTACAAGTGAATCCAAAACAGATATCTGCTCAAGGTGTTATCTTAGAGTCTACTGAACACAGCTAACAAACACCTTCCTTGAAACTTCAGCTTTTGATTTTGCAGTCCCGATCAGCCCTATGAATTTCAGAGAACAATTTGGTTATTTACATCTCTGCTTACAAAGCCTACTAGTTCGATTAAACATGGACTTTGCAGGAAACTAAAATTGTTTTATTCAACACAACTAACCTCCACAGATGTCCTGGCTTGTGATATACCATATCTAGTCAACACAACTCAGCTGCTAACTACCTCTGCTTTTACAGAGGCTAGATATACACCAATGGAAAAAAAACAGAAATTATCAGATTTCAAATTACTTCAGCCAAACTAGTACAACCTCACACCTGACATGTATTTGGTCCTATCAATAGTCACTTCAAACTGACTGGCAAAGCTCTCCTTAGTTATTTAATGCACAGCACTGAAACCCAAAAGCACATTCTTAAAACTCACCAAGTTCAAATTATGTCCCTTTTAAAGGAAAAAAAAAATCTTTAATTAAAAACCATATTTCTAATACTGCAGTACAGACAAATAAATGTTTTCTGAAACATCTGTTGCTCAAATGAGAAAAGAGTAAACAAATTGTTTTTTTATATCAATCCAGCCAGTGCTCAAGTTCTGTCATGTGTCTCTAGTTACTTGGAAAGTAAAAATCAGAAAAACAGAGTATGGTGATTGTTTTGTTTGACTACACTACATTGTTGCAAACATAACCTGAAAGTAGACAAGATATTCAAATGCCATTATGGTAAGTAATTCTTCTGTCTCAAGGACTGCAACAGTATATTTAAACTATTAAGTTTGCAACAAGGACTCAGTAGTAAGACAACCCAACCTTTAAAAGTGAAAAAGCCAAGCCTAAATATGCAAGGATTTTAAGCCAGTCACTTAGTAAAACTTGTATAGACACCAAAACTCCTCATGAGCCGATGCATGCTTGCACATACTCACCCATTATAAGCTATGTAAAAGACGTGGCTTTAAACAAAACCATGCCAAAGCTAAGAACTAGCAAACTCTTAACCTTTCCACCACCTTCTTTGGCAAGTTTTATATTTTTAAATGTTTAGCATAGCAATTTAAAAGACTGCTATTTAAAAAGCTGTGGATATTAAACACAATCTCTCTCTATAAGCATTGCTACCAAATATAATGGTTTCAGCGCAGCCACAACCATCAAACGCTGCCATAATATGTGCAGGCATGGCTCTAAGTCAGCAGCACAAACTACCTGAACAAAGCTGCCTGCGCCCTGGGATCACACGTCCTGCTCAGCCCCGGGAGGACCAACTACACTGGTGTTAATCAGGGGTGGTTTGCCCAATGGTAGTCATTCTGCATCAGCAGCTAAGCTAGAAAGAAATCCCACATACGATGTTTAGGCAGCATCTATTTTTGGAGTTTAACAGAAGATTAAAACACACAAAATACAGATTACTTCCTCCAACCTGTTGGACAGAAGAGAAAGCTCTGCTTAAAAATCCTGTAGTGATCTAGATTACTTGCCCACCACTATTAAGAGAACAGGAATAAGCATTAAAAAAAGTGAAAAATAATGATTTATCATGTTTACATCATGCTTTTCACAGAACTTTGTGTATTACCAGGTTTCACTGTCACCATTTGGCTTTTAAGTTCTCACCTAAAATAGGAAAGAATCCACCTCCCCTAAATTCATATACCCTCACACAAACTGTAGGAAAATAGTTAAAATTCTTGAAACTACTATGATTTTTTTTAAACATATGACAGATTGACAATGAAGTAACAACATAACTTTTTGAGCCTAGAACATGTACCACATTCACAAATGGCTTCAACAACATTCCTAAGTGTTAAAAATATTTTTCCTTTTATGATGAAAATATTTATTCCAGGAAACTTTAATTTTACAATGATGATCCAATGTTGAAAATCACTAATAGCTAATTCAAAGATGAAAAAGTAACTGAAATCCTAACACATTTATTTTTTGATATTTTGATCTCTACTGACAATGATTCCTCCCCAGCTGAAAGTCAGGAAAACTACATAGAAGGTAGTAGAGCAGAGGCCTGATTTCACTGATTTACAATAAGCAGGTTGCAAACACTAAATCTCTACCTCATCGCATTTCAAGGAGCCATTTCCAAGCATGACTTGAGCCAAATTAGCAGTTTACCATT